ATTACATGCCTCAAGGCCTGCACAGGATACTTAACAAAAATGATCAAGCAGGCAAAAAGTATGCTGTGTCCTGAAACTGTTACCTCAGTGGGACGTGAAGAACTGCGGTAGTACTGTAGCACGCTGCATCTCTCCACAGCAGAGCAAGGCATTCTGGGATATGGAATCAGGAGCCGATAGCATTTATAGAAGCGATCTCCTCTCTGCTGATTCTGACTGGCTCTTGCTGTACTTTTTTTCTCCTATACTTTTTCCCTTCCATTTCTCTTTGCTGATATTCTGTCCATCATTGCCTTACACATTGTTTGTCTTCTGGAGCAAAGTAACTGAATTAAAGTCTGATGATATTCTGGTTGCCAATTATGAAAGCAAACTATTCTATATATTTATTCTCTAATGAGAAAAGATCTTGTATCTTGCAGTATCCTTCTCTTTCTATACAACTCTTTGTTTTCATGTCATTTCTGGTTTATAAGATCATGCGGTACATAGGATGTGCGTGTGTGGATGGATTGATTCTCAGTCCATGTGCCACATAATTTAATATTAACTTTATCATAATCTAATGGCAAATGTTATTGTATTGGAGGATTCATAATAGATACAGTGTATATTCTCTTTTAACCATGTTTTGATATAATCTATGAATTTCCAGGTGTTCTGATGGCAGTATTTAGTAAATGTGCCTAGTTTAAAAGGAAGAGTACTGCTCTTCTTTGTTTTTTTGCAATCAGTCTGAAAGTTTTTCAAGTTCAATTTATAAAAGGAACATAAAAGCCATTTTTGTAATTTTGTAATATGTAGACAGGTTTGATGCTGCATCTACTCTGAGAAGTTCAGTACAAGTTGTCTTTTAATGGGGGAAAGTTTTGTAAAAATACAATGTTTTTTTCCCCAATTAGAATAAAGCTGAACTAAATATTATTATTGGTTTGATTATTTTTTCCTTTTTTTGCAGTATGCTGACAAATATTATCAATATTGTTTACATTCTAAGTTTAATAAAAAAAAGATTATAGTGCTGTCAAAATTAGTGTGAACGACTGCGATTCAGTTTAATGCGTTAAAAATATTTAAAATTCTATTAAGTTCTATTAAACCATCTAAATATGAGGGAAATATTATTTATATATACAGTTGTGGTCAGAATTATTGGCACCCCTGGTAAATATGATCAAAAATGGCTGTAAAAAATAAATCTGCATTGTTTATCCTTTTGATCTTTCATTCAAAAAAATGAAAAACCTTTCATTGAAGTAAAAGAATTGAAAGTGGGTGGAAATCACATTATGAAATAAATGTTTTTCTCCAAAGCACGTTGGCCTTGAAAAAAGGTTAAAAAATAAATTACGAGTAAAATATCTCTGAAGTATATTCCCATTAATATTTACCTTTTTTAGCACACCAGGGTGACTAGGAACATGAAATTGTCCAGCTATGACTTCTTGTTTCACAGGAGTTTAAATATGAGGAAACACAAAAGGCCAAATACCCTTAATCATCCATCACAATGAGTAAAACCAAAGAATATAGTTCTGATCTGCAGCAAAAGATTGTTGAGCTTCACAAAATAGAAAGCTATAGAATTTAAAATAGCTAAAATAGCTAAAGAATTGAAAATCCCCATTTTGACCATCAGGGCAATAATTAAGAAGTTCCAATCAAAAAGGATCACAGATGGAGAATTGCAGATATTAGTTGAGTCTTGGGGTCAGAAAGCCTATTAAAAAAAAATCAAACAACCCCTACATCACCACATGTTGTTTGGGAGGGTTTCAAGAAAAATCCTCCTCGCTCCTCCAAAAACAAACTTCAGCAAATTCAGGTGTCAGACACGACTGGAACTTCAAAAGGGACCGGATTCTGTGGTCAGATAAAACTAAAAATCTTGTTCAGATACGTGGTATTATGGATTCTAGCAAATACTAACAGATAAAAAATCAAAACCTGACGGCTTCTGCTAGAAATCTTATAATGGAATGTGGTTGGATCTTCCATCAGGACAACGGTCCAAAGCAAACATCAAAAGCAACACAAAAATAGCTAACTGAGCACAAAATGAAGCTTCTGCCATGACCGTCCCAGTTCCCTGACCTGATGAGTGTGGTGAACTGAAGAGAAGAAGCACCAACATGAACTTGTGAATCTGCAGGATCTGGAGAGATTCTGTATGGAGGAATGGTCTCTGATCTCTTGTCAGTTGTTCTCCAGACTCATCAGGCATTATAGGAGAAAACTCAGAGCTGTTATCTTGGCAAAAGGAGATTGCAAAAAGTATTTAATAAAAGGGTGCCAATAATTATGGCCAGTGTGTTTTGGAAAAAAGCATTTATTTCATAATGTGATGATCCCCCCCCCCCCCCCCCCCCCCCCCCCATTTTCAATTCTTTTACTTCAATGGAAAGGTTAGATTTTTGCGAATTTTTTGAATGAAAGATCAAAAGGATAAACATCGCAGATTTTTTTTTTTTTTGCCATTTTTATCATATTTACCAGGGGTGCCATTAATTCTGAGCACGACTGTATATACACAAGAAACGTTAATGCTATATATAAAATGCTATATATATATATACATATACATATAAACTATAATGTATGTGTGTGTGTGTATATATTTTTTATATATTAATCTTTTTAGATATGAAGGAAGAACAAAACACAAAACATGGTTAAGGTATTTATCTGAAAAAATTATTTGGCAAAAAAAAGGCAAAATAGAGCTATGGGTTTTATTTTACTATGAAACCTAAAAAATGCATAGAAAGACAAAAAGCTCACAAGAAAAAGCATACAATGACTGCAACATAATCAGTTATTCATATTTCATTTGTTCTCTCTTGTTTTTGCAATTGTTTATAATTTCTTTGTATCACAAATAAAACAATTGACTATGCAATATGATTACAAAATCTTTACCCTTTATAAAAATATTAGTAAAAATGTGTTAGAGATGTAAATATTCCTAGGCTGGACATCACTTTTGTCCACTACTGTATAAATACTTTTTCTGATATACAGTATAACTTTCTCCAATTAAGTTTTCCTTGTATCCAAATATCCAGCATTGCCTCTGATTGCCGACAAAATCACATTAACGATTGGTTGGCATTAACGTTGCTTATGCTTCTGTTCTCAGTGCTTGATCTGGAGAAGAACGACGGCTCAGCAAGCCGCCCGTATTACATGCCTGGCAGCCTGCGAGCCATCCTCAACAAGAAGAACCACAAGAGACCAGAGGAGAAAAAGAAAGGTAGAAAATAAAAGCAGCAACCAACAAAAAGGCACTGCCATGAAAAACGGACACTGCCGATTGTGATTCTGTTTCCTGACCATCAGCATCCTAAATGGACTTCTTTAAGCAGTATTCAGTCATGTCCGTAGGCAGCTTCTGTGTTATAAATCTTATTAGAAGCCCAAAAACATAAATACAAGAGTCTTCAAACTGATCTGCATCTTTTTGTTATGTTATCATTATAAAAGTACATATAATTGACAATAAGCATCTAAATCAGCGGAGATTATTTCCTGTTTGTAGGTGTGTTTGTAAGTGTCTATGCATTTTCATAGATTTTAGTGTTTTTTTGTTTGTTTGTTTTTACTGATTCTTGCCTTTTATATGACCATTGGATTCTGTTAGCACCCATTTGGGGTGAAACTACCACTTTTCTCATATTGAGAAAACGACCGGTAACGCATTTAATTGCTCTTCACTAGATGAATTTTCCTCAACTTTTTTAAGTTGCTGTTTGTACTTGCAGTTTAGCTGAAGTGCCTTACTCCAACATGCCGTTAACATCTCTTTTAACCTCAACCACATGTTGATTTGAGCCCTTTTCTGCTGTGCAGAGCTTTAAACTCCTATTTATTCCTTCATTACTGCTCTTATTCATCCATCCATCCATCCAACTGCATTTCCCATCAGATCGATTGCTCTCTAGCAGCAGGAGGTTACACCCCTCGCTCCTTCAGAGGTTTCATTGCGTCCATTCACACTTCATTTTAGCCAAGGACTTGAATTTATGTTAATAACACCTTGATATGAATATGTGTGCAGAATATTGGTAGTTATTTTAGGTGGACTAATTGCTCATATTTTGATGAAGTTATGTGATTACAAACCATTTGAAGTTTTACCTTTTTTTATACAATGTACAAATTTTTTTTCTCTCTCATCATTTAAAAGGGATGTTTTTTCTAATATTTAAGTCAAAATGTATTCCGTACCATTTTTATGTTAAGAACACTTGAATGTGAACGCTAATACAATGAGTGCATGTGCTGAAATTAAAATCAGCTCTCATAATTCATCTAAATTGCATTATTCTTTAGTTTAACACTTGTCTTATCTTATTAGTATTTAACTTTATTTAATTCTCTTCTTTTACAGTGTGGTAAACATTTTGATTATTTTTGTGACTTTATATTGTGCTAATTTACAATGCATAATAACATTGTATGATGTAATCCAAGTGCATGCAAGGATCAATTTGGAAATAAAGTATTTCATATAGACACATGGCAACAAGTTATTTTTACTTAACCGCATGGGATAGGAACAAAATACACATTAAAACACAAATTAAAAAATGTAATAGAAATGTATTAGTGGCATAAATATTGTTATAATAATTGGCACAACATTTACAACTGAATTGTTAAATGTTTAGCTGCTGCTGATCAGTAGATGTGTAGATTGTTGGGACAGTAATGGCTGATAGAGTAGAGATGTTGGTGTGTGAACTGGAGATAAAAGAGAAACGGAGCCATTAACAAAAGCACAAACACACAGGAACAAATTTATGTCATCTTGACACACCTTTTTCCAGACATGTTTACAAGTCTTTGAGGTCCAAGTCTTTGCTTCTAAGTCCAAGTCAAGTCTCAACTCTTTGAGGTCCAAGTCAAGTCTCAAGTCTTTGAGGTCCAAGTCTCAAGTCTTTGAGGTCCAAGTCTCAAGTCTTTGAGGTCCAAGTCTCAAGTCTTTGAGGTCCAAGTCTCAAGTCTTTGAGGTCCAAGTCAAGTGTCAAGTTTTTTACCCAATCATTAAATCAGTTAGTTGTTGACTCAAGAACAGCTGCAATCGGATCAGTCTGATTCTCAAATGAATCTTTCAATGCGCTTTAAGAACCAATTTGGCAGGTTCATTGGAAATCTGCTCCTTCGTGAATTGAACATCGCTATTGTGTCTTGGATTGGTATTGGGTGGTGATTTCCTCAGTTTGAAATAAGGAGGAAAGATATGTTTTTGCCTTTCCATTTGCAGTTTTCATCAAATCAGCAAATTCTTCCAGTATTTCTGCTATATCAGAACAGTTTTCCACACTAAAAACTGATAAAGTACTCTTTAAATAGTACTTGGCTAATTGTACTACAATTCCCTCAAATCTCACCATCGATGCAGATGCTGTGTAAGGCTGTAAGCATGGATGTGTCTGTATAATGCAGTTCATTTAGGTTGGGAACCACCCGGAGTGACGACAGACCTCCTGCCGATATTCCTGAATGAGGGGGAGAGATGTTCTTCTTCTGACGGGCACGACAGTTTTGAAACCAAACCTGACCAGATAGAAATTTGAAGAAATTATTTAGACAACATACGCATTCTCTTCTGTTGCTACATACGGTAGAAAATGGTAAACAATGGTAAAACAACTTTTTAAGTTACAAATTTATAACAGCTCAATTAGGCACTTTAGATATTGCTAAAGAAATGTAACCTGAATGACGCGTCGACTAAGCCCAGTCTGTTCAGCAAGCCTCTGAAGTGTCTGTGCGTCTGGGTTATTGTCCTGAGCAAACTGAGCCTGCATAACCTGCAAGCCACAAACATAGACATAGCGTCAGTAAGGGAGTGGGAAATCTGTACAAAGTACAACATAGCAGGGATCGATTATTTCTTTCATTGAACTCATTTGGGACACATTGAACAGCGAGAGTGATGATTTACCTGTAGCTGGTCAGAAGTGAAACTGGTACGTGCTCTTTTTGACGGCTTTTGGTTTATCTCACAACCTGTAGGCAACGCACCATCAGGACAAATGGTTTTGGAATAATAAAAGGTAAGGCACAGGTGTAATTATTTTTTCAGACAGAGCATGCTACAAACTAGAAAACAAAACCAGAAGCCCATCTATCAAAACCAAACAACTGCTTTTTTTCACCTAGATATCTTGGTTTGTTTTATTTTTACCCAAACTATGCAAATAATAGTTTAACCCTGTAAAGCCTGACATGAAATAATAGTCTAAAGAATCATTTGCTTTAAATGGAACAGTTTAGAGAACCTTTAGACAAAATCAAAAAAAAAATTGCATACTGTATGTTGTTGTTTTGTTGTTGAGTGTCTTATTTGTTACATCAGGCTTTCATGGCTCATAGTATGATATATGAGAATATGGAGCTCATACTCAGAGGAAAAAAATCTTAATTTTTATTCAGAGACCCAAACTGAGCAAAAATATGTGATTTGCTCATATTTACAGTATGTGGCCAGATAAGCTGAAATTCTTAGTAAGGTAAATCAATTGGATCTTTATAACAGTATAGCAGACTACTTACCATGAAATGCATAAAAATATCAGTTGTTGTCACTCTGTGGCTCCTAATAATATTTCTTAGAAAAATTATATTGTTTTATGATCAAAACTCAACTATTGTGGGGGGCAAAGCATATAATGCAATGCAATGCAATGCAATGATGATAGCGACATACAAACATTTCTCAAAAGCCTGATGTACAGCATCATATTTGATACTCGCATTTTAACATGATTTTTTTTTTAAATGTTAATCAAGTTGCCCTGAGTTGCTTCAGTCCAGCAAGTATATATATATATATATATATATATATATATATATATCATGTGTTCACTTTATAAAAATCAGTAAAAATCTCACAGCAAAAAGATGTGTACCACAACCTGAAGATGGACTTTTTCTTTTGAATTCTACTAAAAGGTCTTTAGAATACAGAAGGCATATAGAAGATTGTGTACAACAGTTTTTTCAGCAACATTTTGATCATGTTGATAATTTAGAGGCCTTAGAAATGTGCGTATAAAATATAACAGTAGGTTTTATAGGGTTTTAAAGTATGTCCCCTGTATGCATGACTCTCAACTCACCTTTTTCAGAGGCCCCTTTGAGTTTGTCCTGCATGCTGTCGTAATGGATTCGACAAAACAATTTTTGCCCGACCAAAGCAAACTCCTCGCCTGTGGACAGCTGCCTCTTACAGGAGAAGCACGAGAAGCATGCCAGGTGGTAAACGTTTCCCTTCGCCCTGTGTACCCAGTCCGAAGATTGAACCGTTTCCCCACAGCACGAGCACCATGTCCGATACCTTCTGTCAAACATCCATAATTATGTTTGGATTAGGTTAAATACATACTGAAACATCTTGTAAGCATATATTATGCTGTACATCTTCAAAAGAAATACCTGAAGTAATCTAGTTTGCAGAAGACCTCTCGCCCTCTAACATAGCAGGTTGTGTTTCCGCTGAGAGTGGTTTGGCACAAACTGCATGAAAGGCATCGCACATGCCAGCACAAGTCATTTACCTGCATTCAATAATTACCAGGTGTAAGAAATCACATTAAAATATTTATTCATAGACAATTTTGCGGCATGATTCTAATTTAAAGGGAAAAAATCCTCCTCACCTTAAGTAGATACCTGTCTAGGATGTCATCTCTACACCCCGTGCAAACTACTTTGCCTTGAAAAGCATCAGAAGCCATTGCTTGGGGTAAAGCAGACGGAGAAGCAGGATCTAATCGGCCATTCACAAGTTCTGATGAAATCTGTAGAAACAGAAATAATATTTTCAAACATTGCTTTAATTGCTTTAAATTGGTTAAATCTTGTATAATTTAAGTTTAATGCGTATTAACTAATTTTGATGAGTGTGCAATGTAAAAACATGTTTTCATAACTATTGATCATATATTTTAGTGTACAGCTATGTTGGTTCAACACAATTGAAAATTATATATGAACTGTGCACTTCTGTGAATAAAATTTGAATGCGAATATCAAATATAGGTGCCTACATATATATATATATGGTTTAATAGCATTTTCTATCAATATTTCAGCAACAAATAAATCGCATTTCCGCCGCCAAAAAAAAATATATTAATCGCGTTCGCTTGAAGAGGTGACCATAGCAACCGAGGATGTTAACGTTACTGTACCGGCAAAGCACACGTAGGTTATTTTCCTTATTTGACGGGGTTTTTTGTTGTTGTTGTTGTAGTTTTCATATCACACGTATATCACAACTGTTTTTTTTTTTTTTTGTTGTTGTTGTTGTTGTTTTTTTACATTTTAAAAGTAGCCTATTTTAAGTATTTAAGCCAAGGGCGCCAAAATACGGGTTGCAAGAGATGAACCTCAATGTTGGACCAAAAAATATATGACTCTCCTCAACAATACAATTACAACTAGCCTATATCACTGACTGAAAAGGGTTTATGGATTATCGATGGCTTCGGGTGGTCAAGCAAAAAATATATAAAAAATATTTACCATGCAAACGTCGCTTGTAACTTCTCTGGACTTGTTGGTAAAATCCTCACTGCGACCCGTAGACATGACTGTGGTGAATGTGCTCCGGATTTCCAAAGTCCCCATCGAAACAGCCTTTAAATGTACGCGCTCCATCCCATAAGCATCACTCAATCTTCTCTTCACCATGACAACCGCAACCAATAGCCTGCCAAAACAACATTTAGACTTTAAGAATTTCAGTCATTATTAAACCACGTCCGACTGTTAGAGTGGGCTAATGGTTATCTGTGCATGTATTATGTGCTTGAAATCAGCATTAGGGGTTCGGAAACGGTTCACACATAATGCCTTAACCCCAAACGTATCAATTACGAATGCCAGTCAAAACCTCTGAAGAATCAGAGGAAGAAGAGAATTGATTTATTTAATAACAGCAATTAAAAGCCACACGTTTGGCACAAACGCTCAACCAGAGCGACCCAAAGGTGAAGAGGTCTCATTAAACTCTTGACACTTAATTGCTGCGATTTCAAGGCGGGTTCTTTTCTTCTTCTGGTATAATTGAGGGAAAATGGTGGAAATATTTCTTCCGAACTGTGCACGGAACGCATCACACCGGGAAAAAAAAAAAAATCAATCTATCATTATGACATGTAGGCTAAAGCGCTTTCTCTGTATTTATTTGTTCATGGTAGGTGTTCCAGAATTAAACAATGTGTTGGCCTAAAGCAATTTCCGGGAATTGAAAATGAGCGTTTTAATTGTAGCCTAATTGTAGCTATGCAATTCTTGTCAATTGACAGACACTTAGCCTATGTGTCGCAAAACCTACACAGTTTATAGGATGTTTTAAAATATGTTCTTACTTTATATTAATAGGCTACTTAATGACTTAAAGGACACTAATGTAAAATAATAATAACATAATATATAGGCTAATATTTTCGAAGGCCTAATGAGGATTAGGCTTATCTGTTCGTTAGTCAAATAGGCTACTATATAGCCTACTTTTAAAAGTTTATGGGGTCTCTTTATTCATTTTAACCTAATTATGCCTAATGACTGATATCTATTTAATTAATCATGTAGGCTAGATGATGAAAACTATGATAATAAAAAATATTTTTAAATATACTAACTTGTAACTTTACTAATGCAGTGATTTTGGCATCTGTTGTGTAAGCCTATTCATTTTGTTTGAAAGGCATGCAGCCTGTAGGCTTATGTTCATTGTTTTAAGTTATGTAGTTTTTGGGTGGTTTCGGTGGCGATTTTTTTAATGTATTTAATTGTTAAAATATTATTATTTATATAATTTTTTAACAAAGTGTAAAACTGGAAATTCTCGTCGGTGCGCTCTGATGAGGCCTTCAGCCCGCATGTTTTGAGTGGTGATCTGTAGGACTGCATGTCTGTCTGTCCAATCAGAGACTTGTGGAAAAATGCCCTAATCAGGAAGTGATTGCCTTCTCCACAATCACAGCATAAATGTCCAATCTAACACTGATTGCACTTGCTGCAGTGCCACCACTACAGTCACACCCAAACACTCCGACAATCCCATGCCATCCGACACACACACACAGACACACACACACATGTTGTTGTGTTTTCAGACGTTGAGTTTTCATGTTTTATGGGGACTATCTGTAGACATAATGATTTTTATACCATACAAACTGTATAATCTATACCCTTAAACTAACCCTATAGCCCTAAACCCATCACAGAAAACTTTCTGCATTTTTACATTTTCAAAAATCCATTTAGTCTTATTTATAAGCTGTTTTCCTCATTGGGACCAAAAAATGTCCCTACACGACACGGACAAGGATTTCGGATATTGCCATCGTTGTAGGGACATTTTGTCCTAATAACGTGGGGTTTACCTGGACCACACACACACACACACACACACACACTCACACATGTTGGGTTTCCATGTTTTATGGGGACTCTCCGCAATGATTTTTATACTGTGCAAACTGTATATTCTATCCCCCTACACTACCCCCACCCCTAAACAGAACACTTTCTGCATTTTTACATTTTCAAATAAGCTGTTTTCCTCATGGGGCCCAAAATTTCCCCAAAAGGTCAGAATTTTCTGGTTTTTACTATCTATAACTTATAGAATACCAGGTACACACACACACACACACACACACACACACACACACATTTTATGTGCTCATATTTTTGCAGTTGTAATAGAGTAAATATTTTGTGGTAGGCTACAGTTAGAAGAATGTAGGCTAGGTGAAAGTAGAGTAGGCCTAGGGTTATTTTGGAATATGTACATAGGGTATCCTATTACGTCAGGCTAATCTAGGAAAACGACCTGATTGAGAAATGAAGAAAAAAAAACTATTTTCCATGTCAGTAAGTAAAGTTGATTCACTTCTACTTCAAATTCTAATTTTATTTGTCACTCAAATTAACTTTTTTTTTGTTTTTTTTTTTATGTTTCCAAGAATGAAAGGCCAAAATTATGTCACTGCATTGAAATATCATGAATATGAAATATCTCTCTTTTTGGTTCAGTGATTCCTTCAGTTTGTACAGACAATCTCCAGTGAAAACACTAGAGGGCATCAATGTACAGCTTATTGGAACCTGAGCTAGCCTACATTAACTATCCCCACGTTTAATAAAAAAAATCTACAAAACCATAACATCTGACAAAAGCGATATGTTACAGCTACACAATACATAACATAACGATCATTTTTTGTTTTTTATTTTTCCATTTCAAACTAATAAGACCTGTATTTTTATTGACACTTCAGATATATTTCCACGTCCATTTGACTTTTTGACGTATCAATATGAACTTATTTAAGTAATATCGTATTTAAACAAAGCACAAAGAATGCGTAGTTATTGGCATCATCACGTGATTCACCATGGCAACGCAGGCTGTCATCAGTTCCTCGCGAGGAAAGGTGTTGAGTATTCAGAGCCGGGCAGACGGGATGCACACATAGTTTTAATGTCCCCTGGATTAAAGAAAACTCTAAAATTATCGCTTGTTTGCTCTATTCATATCAAAGATCACTACGCGCCGACAAAATGAGTCATCTGAACCCAGGGTGAGTAACTAAGCTAGACCAAGTTGCAGTGTTGACTGAAATGTACTATTAAATGCTCTAACTAGCTGTCCTGTCTTAGACTGCCATTTGCATTACCAAGCATTATGCATTATAACGATTAATTTTCAACTTTATGTTTATGGCAAGACACTATATGACCAAACGCTCTTGTTACTGTGGAGATAAAACAACAGCAATAGATCAACCATCCGCAAAGGACAGGCAATATTGTTCATGCATGACTTGAACTGAACTGAATGTTGTTTATTTGTTGAACATACCTCAAATATATAACTGTCATACTAAATATATGTCTGACGTTAAAAAAGACACAATTAATTAGATTTAAGTCAAATGAAATGTTTCCTATATGTTTAGGCTATCTTGCACAGACATCATGTTTTATTTCTGAACAATTTTAGTGGGAGATATGAATTCAATGGGGGGCCATGGGTTAAGTGTGCTATCCATCCACACTCAATTCCAATAGAAACCAGACACTGGTAATGGTATCTACTTGGCCTGAGGATTGGTGTACAGGTTGTGTTGTCTTCTTTACAAACGCTCGGGGAAATCAAATCTGTATCGGAAAAAGCCAGGCAGACAAACAGTCGAGCATTTCCAAGACTACACTTGACACAGATGTAGAGTGTTCACCTCAAGCTGAAATCTGTGGCACTGCTGGCCTTGAGGATCACTGAATCATTCCATCAGCCTGGTCAGGCCCGTCCTTACATTACAACTCCACGACGCCTGTGATGAGTTATATGAATGTTTTAATGTGCAGACTGTTTTTTTTTTATACATTGTTGATAATGTCTATTGTCTATGTAGTCTTCTTTCAGCTTACAATAGCTTAACTGACAAACATCTGACTGGATACTTCAACAATGTGAGAATACGAAGACATCTTCAGAAGGTTGGGCTGGTAAGATAGTCATGCTAGAAAATAATGATGTTATGTGTATATTCATTGGGATTAACCTAGAGATTTGATAATTCTGAGAAGTTAAAATATTTACAAACTAACATCTCTTATATATTAATCAATATCTCTCTGTTTATATAAGTTAATTAGCATTCTCATAATGATCACTTTATAGATAACCTGTTAAAGGATGAAAGGAAAAGCACTTTTATGTTATACAAGATCAGATGCTTCAGGCATTAAATGCAGGTGCATGTGCTTCAGATCTCCCGGAGCGGACGGATTGTTCCTGATAAGGAGTACAGGCACAAGCTGATCCAGCGAGCACATCAGAGACATGTGAGAGAGTGTCTGGCTCAGGCCATCTTTCACAAGGTGCTAGACATGGAGGTGAGAGCATTATGCAGACTACATCAGAAGCTCTATTAGGCTAGAATGTTGTGTTGTGTCATAAAGTAAGGGTAATGCTAATATCCTATTCACATATAGTAGTCTACATACTGTATTCATCTCATTGTATAATACAAGTTAAAAGGTGCATAAGAATGAAACATTTCTGAAGTAATATTGTATAAGTATGGATATAAAATATGTAAATAGATCCTGTACTAAGGCAAAAAAAAGTATTTTCTATATTTCATTTTTTCCACTGTTTATGTAGCGCCTTCATCAAACCGAGATCAAGAGAAAACTTGAGGAATTTGCACGGAGGGAACGAATCCACAAAATAAAGGTTTGTCGTTTTTACAAAACTCCTTGGCCTTGGTGACTTGGTAATAAAGTACATTTTGTGATTTAACTTTTTGCGCTTTATGCTAGGCTGAGCGCTCCAAGAGATATGAAGATGAACCAATGCCAATGCTGTCACCTCGGCCACCCACGGGGCCAAAGATCTCTCACGTACGGCATTCTGGGCCGGAGGGAGAGCATTCTGAGTCAACAGAATCTGTGAGTGGCCCATATCAGTTAATAATGGGTAAAATAGCTTTACAAACTAACCATGTCCTTACAGTTTACATACCAAACAATTAACAGGTACCACCTAAGTGCGCTTCAATTCTATATTACAAATGACTGTTCTCCTAGTGATGTGCTGTTCATATCCTGCCTCTTCTTCAAAAAGATATTATGAATTTATTATCTGCTTTATGTTTATTCTACATAGTTACCTAGCTAGTCCTAATGGTTGCTTAATTGTAGATTCAGATCATTTGTTTGCTCATTAGGGTCTGACATGTTTAACAGAAGGTGATATGAAGTGGTGTGGTGGTTCCCATCATGGATGTTTGCCTGTTGACGTTTTAGGCACCTTGAGAGTTACTGCTCCAGCAGATTGATGACACATGAGCTTTTTTTTTTTTTGCTCTGGTTTCTCTAGATACCTTTTTTCAAACCCACATGTTAAGATCTTAGTTTTAATAGTTTACGTTCAAGTTATTCAAGAACACTCTGTTTAGTTCCTGTCTCTATTAAGCCCCTTCTTCAGTTCAGAGTTCAGAAACAGTGCTATATATATATATATATATATATATATATATATATATATATATATATTTATAATGCATAACAAGAGTTACATTAGTATTAACTCTTTCTACTTTCTACTCTTTTCTACTATTCATCATATTTAATATTTGGTAAGTGAGTTGTCTTACTCCTGTAGCCGAGTTCCTCAAGGCCCAACACGGCTCCGGGGAAGATGCAGAGGCCTGTTCGTCTCAAGCCCCTGAACAGTAACAGTGCCACGGCCTCTCTGAAGAGAACCTCCCCTCGACACAGACCCCCGGACTGGGACTCCTCTAACGACACAGATCAGCTCCTCAGTTATACGGTGAGACCATCCTCAGGTCCTAATACTTACATGCTTGCTTACAAAACCCCTCATCATGTGTCGCGTACAAATACAGTGCAAATCACGCTCGGCCAAATAATAGTACTCATTTGCATACAGCTCTGCTGAAGTATCGAAGACCAGCGTTTCGTGTGTCTTCCTGTAGGAAAGAGAAATCACAAATTAGATGTCTTTAAACATTAAATTAATACTAAATGAATACTTTAATACTTTAAAACTTTTATTCAGCAAGGACACATTAAAGTGATCAATAGTGAAAGTAAAGACATTTATTATAATATAATTATAATCTATAATTTATTAAAAACAAATCCATTTAAAAAAAACTATTAGGCAGCACAACTGTATTTTTGACCAAATAAATGCAGCCTTGTTAAGGGTAAGAGTTTTATAAAAAAATATATAAAAAAACATATACTAAAGTCTATGAAATCAAAAGTTAGAGATATTAATATTAAATATAAATATTTCTCGTAAAATTTCAAGACCAAATGATCAAAGCTATGATATTCACATTCATTTCATAATTTTACTTAAAGTCAACAATTTGTTTATTTCTAATATAACTTTGTTTCTACTTAAAATCTGCATAAGAACTCCACTTGGTCTCCAGGGCTATAAACAAACAACCTCAGAGTAATAACATTTTTGTCTCTCTGGGTTGTTTTATAGCTGGACAAAGAGGGCATGAGACATTTGACCATGACAGACTGCTCTAGCACTGTCTCGCCTTACCGTCTTCCTGTCATTAACAACTATGTGACCCCTGTGCCGCCCCTCACGAAGAAAAAAGAGAGAGGGCCGAGAGCGAACGGCACACACAGGGGTCGAAAGTTAAGACCCACTACAGCACCAACTACAGAGGTCTATATGTTGAAGTTATTTACTGAGTATTCAGGGACATGAAGGTTGATATAGCCTTAAAACAAATCTTCGCTTACATATATTCTGCTATTACTCTTGTCTGCAGCCATCTTCTCTCCAGAGGACATCAGCCCAGAGTAAAGTGTCAGTAAGCATGGTATACTTTGGGAAGAGTGTTCACCTGTCCCATGATTTGATGGACCTCAGAGATGAGGTCAAGGTCTTCCAGCAGCACTGTGGAGGAGAGAACCTCTGTGTCTACAAAGGGATGCTGAGAGAGGGAGGTAGGTCCCTGTACACATGTGCTTTGTAATTCATATCTTAAGGACACCATGCATTACACTACTGATCTAGGGGCTTTTGATAATGAGTGGCTCTTACCTGGCAGTGTTGCATATATTAGAATATATTATGCATATATTATGTGATTCTGCTCTTTGATTTCAAGATGCAGTCATCAAAAGCAAATGAAAAGTGAAAAGTGAACTTTCTTTGCCTATCCTGTATCCTTACTTGTAGAAGTTTTCCAATTTGTGTCAAGACGTCACCAAGGATTTCCCTTCAGTCTTACATTCTTCCTGAATGGCCTCCAAGTGGATAGGCTCAGCTCCTGCTGTGAGTTCAAACACAGGAAAGGCACTCGGCTCGGGGGCAGACATGGACACTTTGGATTTTGCGGGGTGGAGGGAGCCTCTCCTTGCTACAAGTAATGATAATACATGTCTATAATGATATTTTTGTGTTTAATGTTAAAATGAAAAAGGTACTTTCAAAACTGTATTAGTTTGATAACACAATAAGTGAGGAAAAAAACACATTTATATCACACACGCACACACACACACATACTACTGTTTAAACGTTTGGGCTCAGAAAAAGAAATTCATACTTTTATCCAACAAGGACGTGACAGTAAAGACATTTATAATAATACAATTATAATTTACAATTTATTAAACATGTCTCAACAAAATATTAAGTAGCACAACTGTTTTCAATATTGATAATAAGAAATGTGCGTATCAGAATGATATCTGAAGGATCATGTGACACTGAAGACTCGAGTTATAGCTGCTGATAATTAATTTGTGATCACAGTAAATTGTAACATTTAAACATGTAAAATTATATTTTATAAATATACATTAAAATAGAAAACAGTTTAACTGTAATAATATTTCACAATATATGTTTTTATAGTATTTTTGAATAAGCTGCAGTCTTGTTGAGGATAACATTTTAAAAATCGTACTGAGCACAAACTTTTGAACAGTAGCATTATATCTACCACACTCCCTATTTATCATTATTGGTTCTGGCCATTGGAAAAACCTACATTGGTCTGTCACTAATAAAGATGCATTATGGTTTTGTCTGATGTACTTCATCAGGTGTATTATTGCCATGGGCTTGGATAAAAAACCCACCCCTCCTCAAAAAAGAGTGAAAGAGGAGCTGCCCACCTCTAAATCCCCAGATGCTAAGGAGGCCACAGATGTAGATGAAGACATACACACACATTCTAACGCAGTGCCTGACGCACCTCAGGAAATGGAGACGGAGCCTAATGGAGAAACAACAGGGAAGAAAAAGACCAAAGATGGTACAAAGTTTAACTCCAAAAAAACTCAAACAACAACAAATATATTTGTGAAATATCTTGTAGTGATGTAGGTACTGTTTGATTTTATTTGTATTTATTTATTGAGGCTTTCTGTCCTCAAGACTCAACTAATTTCTGCAATTCCCCAGCTGTGATCCTTGGAGACTCCTTGGCCACTCGAATTAGGCCTTTGTGTTTCTTCATATTTATACTCATGGCTGGATAATTTCATGTTCCTATCACCCTGGTGTGCTAAACAAAAATGAATTTCATAATATTTTCCCCCCACTTAATTATTTTACTTCAATAACAGGTTAGATCTTTGTGAATTTTTTTTAATGAAAAATATAAAAGGATAAACAATGCAGATTTATTTTCACAGCCTTCTTTAATCATATTTACCAACAGTGCTAATAATTCTGACCAGGACTGTATACTGATACAATACACAGTATGAGTAATACATACCAAGTAATTTTGGATACATTTTTATTTATTTAATATTTCATAGACAATATTTATGCTATGCTCTCATATAGACTATGAGGAAGACTTTGAGGCAGATGATGAAGGGCCAGTTGAAGATGTTGATGAAGTAGAGGAAAAGACATCTGCTGCCAATGGTGGAGAAGAAGAGACCAGGGATGAAAATGACATAAATGAAGTGAAAAGCAACACTGACAGTGATGACGCCAGTATGTCTAGTTAGCATTACTTTATGGTCACCTTTTTCAACAATATTTGTCAACATCTAATACATTCTGTTTGTGTTCTTCAACACCTGATACTCAGAGATTATTTGTCTTCTTCCTTCAGAGGTCAAAAGGTCATCATCTGTCTCATCTGGACGAACATCCAGCTTGTCCAGCAGTGACAATGACAACAGTGAAAGAGAAATTGTGGAGGACACCAAAGAAGTCACCACTGCTAATGTTCCAGAGGAGAGCTTACATGCAGAGGAGGACCTCACCACAGCTGAGACCAAACCGGAGGAGACAGAGGTCACAGAGTCCAGTGACATCACATTACCTCAAGCTGCAGCGGAAGACTCTGGGACACAGGATAGTCCTGGGGATGGCATGGAGAAGAGCGACCTGGAAATGTCAGAAGACACAGACAAGAAAGAGGGAACTGAAGGTGAGCAATCTGGGGAGGATGCCAAACCTGAAGATAAGCCACAAGAGAATGAGCCAGAGAGAGGTCAGTGTCTGCATGAAAACTAGTGCTGTGTGCCTGGCATCATCAGACATTTTGTGTTTATGCATGTTGGCTTTTTCAACATCAGAACTGGAGGGCCTGTTGTTTTATTCACAAATAAACAGTTTGAGCAAGATAAACGAACCCCAACCCAAAAAAAAAATCTAGCATTTCGAGATTATCAAAATATACCAAATAATAATAATATTTCTATATTAAAGTCGATATATTTCTAGATTAAAGTCGAAATATTTCTAGATTAAAGTCGAAATATTTCGAGAATAAAGTCAAAATATTTCGAGAATAAAGTCGTAATATTTTGAGAATAAAGTTACGAGAATACAGTCTTCCATAGAAGTTTTTTGTTGAAAAAAAAAATAATGTGCCCGTGAAGTCGAACTGCTTCTGATGGATCTAAATATAATAGTAGCTTTTTACTTTTATCTGGGCTTTCAACAAAAGGAAATTCTACAGGTGCTAATCTAACAACATGGCATCACCATTTGTTTTAGGACGCCTATAGACGAGCATGAAGACTCCGCCGGAGTAGGTACCACAATCCTGGTCCAAACTTTATGTGGCACGTTGACTCGAAGCCTACGTGTCTTTGTGCTCGTCTATAGGCAACAGCATCTGGTTCGAGAACACTTAACAGTAACCGTACTGTCTCCCTCTTCACCGTAAATACTTTCTGGATACATTTTAAGTGCATCAATCTGTATCCAATCATTTGGCCTGATCCCGCGATATACTTTACTGATCCCGGAATATACTTTACAGGCGAAAACACTTTTCAGACTGGATAACTCCATCCAGTCTGAAAAGTGTTTTCGCCTGTAAAAAGTATATTCCGGCACAGTATATATTTTGTAACGTCCTAAAACAAATGGTAATGCCATGTTGGTAGATTGGCACCTGTAGAATTTCCTTTTGTTGAAAGCCCAGATAAAAGTAAAAAGCTACTATTTTGTTTAGATCCATGTCCGAGGCAGTCTGACTTCACGAGCGCATTTCTTTACACACACGCACACACAAACTTCTATGGAAGACTTCTCGTAATTTTGACTTTATTCTCAAAATATTACGACTTTATTCTCGTAATGTTTCGACTTTAATCTCGAAATGCTAGAATTTATTTAAATTTTTTACGTTTTTTTACGTACATTTTTTACAGTTCAGGGCTTCCGTAGTTTAGTTACTTTACACAGCATTTTTAAAGAGTCATCTATTTTACATTTTTGCTAAATTTTGAAATTATACACAAGCTTTAACTACTTAGCAACTTTTGAAAACATAATATTGCCTGAAATAGTTACCTGAGGAGAGGATAGTTTAGATGATGGCATGGTTTATTGCAAGAACATAACCCAACCAACACAGACTTGAGTTCTGATTGTGTTAAAAGCACACTTCTGTGTAATTGTCAAGGCCCCTGAGAGTTTGTTTAACTCTAGGTGGTCTTGCAAACATCATTGTATTGATTGGTTTTGTGTTTGCTATGTGGCATAAAATGTGTTTTTGATTGCATGTTATTTGTGTTGCCGTAAGCATACTGCTCAGTATAAACCACTGTCTTGACTTTCACAATCCATCAAGAATGTTTAGACTTAATTTTGAGATACTTCTTGGATTTCAAAATAGGCCAAGTCACTGCAAAACAACCAAATCTATAAACAGCCGTATGCATTACGTGTTGGCTCTTGAGGATTTGCTAGTTTAATGAGTGGGAAAACAGAGCAGTGTTTTCTATTTGTGATTTTGTCTTAAGTTTCTGATTTCAACATGTTTGAACCATTTAAATGTGCGTATAACCATTTTTGATTGGTTTTCGATTACACATGATTCAATACACTTTTGTTTGGCTTAATTGGTACACTTCAAGATAAGGTTGTGCAAAATCCATGTGTATTTCCATCAGAGATGGTTATGGATCCTTTTTCGGACACCTGTCCTGTGTGAAAGCATTTAAGTGATTGTTCCCTGCATACTGTGTTACCAATCAAAGTGTTTGCTGTGCTTTTGGTAATAAACCTTTGAGCAATTATTTTTGTGTTTCATTGCTTCTGTGTTTTATTTTTAAATACATTTCAAATGAAATTCATCCAACTGAGTATCTGACTGTTATTCATTTAGTTACTTCACAATTTAACATTAACATTTTGCCATGGATGACATATGTCTGTCTCATTCCCCGTGACTATAAACAGCCAAGTCAATGCAAGAAAAGTTGGCTGAGGCCATTTTGAAGGAATCTCAATGTAGTTCAGAGCCAGAGTTTAGTGATACAAGCACAGAGGAAGATGAAGGGGCCTCAGTGAAGACCCAACAGGACGGCCAAGGTAAAAAAGTTGCCGCCTTCTTTAATTGGGCAGTCTACAGATAATATATAAAGCTCAATGACGAATTACCTCATTTATTTATTTTCAAAAATATCACCAGTAGAGGTACATTTTTCATACAACAAAGTAGTTCTTGCAGTCCTTGAAAAAACCCTTGGCAGTTTTGCATTTGTAAATATGATTAAATCTGAAATGGTTTAATTGGAAATGCTCACTTTTACAGGACCAGAAATGGAGAGTGCGGTGGGTTTCACCTCACCACAACCATCAAACACACTGGATGAAAATGCAGAGAAAGGTGAAAGCAACACACGAGAGTCTCTATGTGAGGAAACGGCACAGGAGCCTCATGTCCACATAGAAGAAGAAAGACAAGAAATAGGAGAGACTCAGGAGGCAGCAGTAAGTTTAGACATAGAGGAAACGCAGAAGGACGAACAAAGTGTGAGGACAAATGAAGTTGAACAACCAGATAAAAGAGAGGAAGTAAAAACTGAGACTGAGGATATGCAGGAGAAAGATAAGGATGTGAACAATACAAATGCAGAGGTTGCAGAGGTTAATACGGAGTTTAAAGAAGAAGAGAAAGACTTATTAGTACAGGAACCAGAGACACATACTGAAATGCTGGACACTGGAAATACAGACACTGAGGTTCCAGAGATGGAGGAGATGGATTCGGTATCTCATACAGAGAATGATACACAAACAGGGGCAGGTGACACTCAGAGGCAGCCAGACGCTGATGACGCAGATCAGAACAGAGAGAGAAGGAGCGACGGACACCCAGACAGAGATGAAAGAGAAGACCTAGCAGATGAGGCTGGGGATGAAAGGTCAACTGGGGAAATGGTACAGAAGACAGATGGCAAGGTGGGTGGTGGGGGCTCTGTTGGTAAGGACGAAGATGGTGAAAAATCTAGTGAAGAGATAGAAGAGACAAAAATGCTAGAGGTTGAGGATACAAGTGAAGATTTGGGAATAGAGGAGGCAGAGAAACCTGGGGAAGAAGAGATACGAGTTGGTGAGAAAGATAATGAGTTAGAAGGTGATCAAGATTCAAAGGCAGAAGATAAACAAAATAAGGACAGTACAGAAAAAGACAAGGATGGTGTGAATGATGAACATAAAGAAAGTGAAGATGGGAAACTGTCTATTGAGGTTATAAATAGACTAAATGAGTCACAGGAAATTCAAAATGTAAGGGCAGAAGGTAATGAAAAAGAGGATGATGGTATGAATGATAAACAAAAAGAAACAGAAGATGGAGAACAGGTTAAAAACATACTTAGTGATGGAGCCGAGGAAGAAGGGCATGAGAAACCAAACAGTGAGGTTGAGATTGGAGGAGAAATCAAGAAAGGGAAAGATGAAAGGATGGAAAATAGGTCTCAGGAAGGGGAAAATAGGTCTCAGGAAGAGGAAAAAGAAGAGGACGGGAAGGTGGATGAGATGGCAGTGGGAACAGATGGAAACTATGTAGAGAATGAGGCAAAAGACAAAGAGCATGAGAATGAGTTAGAAACAGGAGAAAAGTTTATAGAAGAGCAAGAGAAGGAGATGGCAGATATAAACGAGATTAGTGAGAATACATTAGAGGCAGGAGATGGAAAAGAGACTGTTTCTGGTGAGAATACAGCCCAAAAATTGGAAGACAACTTTGAGGACAAAAATGAGGAATCGGTTTCACAGGAAGAACAAAAAGAAATGGGTTCCAGCGGAACGCTCAAGGATGAAACAGAGGCCAGTACCAAGGAAGAACTGGATGAACCTGCTGGGGTGAATAATGACCTGCTGGATAGGAACGTAGATGCTGAAAATGCAGAGAGACAAGAAGTGGGTCTTGAAGAGGCTGATAAGGTGGAAGAATATCTCCAAGAGGAAATGCGAGACAAATCAGAGGGTGAGACAACTGGTGATAGTACTCAAGAAGTTATAGATAACACTGAAAAGACAGAGACTGATAAAGATGTGAAAGAAGAAAATGGTAATGACAAAGAGCAAGAGATAGAAAACAAGTTGAATGCTCAAGTTGTTCCCTCAGAAAGAGAGTCTCAGTTGGGCGGTGAACAGGAGGACCAGGGCAGTGACAACCAAAAAGCTGAAGAAGAGGATGACAAAGAAGAGGCTGACAAAGAATCAGAAACCTCTGCAACAACATTCATAGAAAACATAACTCCTCAGATAACACAGACGATGGTCAATAAGGATACAGAAAGTGATATTGTCTCAGCCGAAGCTAAAGTCACAGAAGAGGAACCAGAACTGAAAGGTACTGACGATGAACTGATAAGTAGAGATGCTCCTGAAGGGATGGATGGTGATCAAGTGCAACCTTTGGAGAAGAAAGGGAATCTTGTCAATGAAGAGAGTGGCTCATCAGTTTCCCATACGGTGGAATCAGAACCACCTGTGAAGAAAGTCAAAAAAGGGGACAAAGATCCAGTTCTGAGCATTAATTCAGATGATCTGGATGATCATCCAGCAGCTTTAGCTAAAGTAGTTGGGGTGGATCTAGTGAGTAACTGGATTAACATACACCAAGAATCAAAGTATTTTCAGACATTCATCGAACCCCTCGATGAAGAGGGTCTCATCTCGGAAGAAACCGAGGAGAGACTAAACGGTGAAGTGTTAGATGCTACAGATACACCACCAAGTACTGATATTGGGGGCCTTGATGAAACACTCAAGAGTAGAGATGAAACTGCAACTCCCATAAGGAACAACCTCAATGAGAACACAGAGTCTGTAGTTGAAAGCTTGAAAACAGAGACTAAAGTTGAGGCCATAGAGGCAGATGCTTACAGTTATCACTCTAATGACAGCATACATACCTTAACCAAAGATGAAAAAGTCCAGGAGGCTGGAGATACTAGAGGTTCTTTGGTCACTTCCTGGTCAAGACAGAGTAATAATGAAGACACCAATCAAAAAGACACTGCTAGACAAGAAACTTTGACGTCAGATGACGTCAAAAACATGGGGATAACAGCAACATCTGAAGACATTCAAGACAGAGCCCCATCTGAAACAGAACAGCAGAATGTACCTAGAAATGTCGACCTGAATGCAAAAGAGACTGAACAAAGTAATCAACTAAATATGACTGATGAAACCAAACATTTAGCCCAAACAGAGGAAGCAAGTAACAAAGAGACCTTGGAGAGTTCGGAAGACAATTTGAAACCTGAGCATGTACCTCAGTCAGAGCATATCGAGCCACAGAGTCCCACAATCACAGTAATTACAGACCTCACAATTGTCAATAAATCGGAGAATGGGAGCCAAGATGACACAGCAAGTGTAGACTTCCATTCCAGACAGTCAGATGGAAGCAGGAACGTGAATGGAAACAGGAGAACTAAAGTAATTGATGGCCATTTCAAACAGACTCTAAGCACAGAGACCTTAAGCACTTTCTCATTGGATGATTCAAGATTTTTTGGGCCCACAGGATATCCTAGATTAACGACTGCTCACACGGAGAACAGCTATTAGTACAATAGTAAATCTTTCACCTAACCCAGGGGTGTCCAATCCTACTTCTGGCGGGCCACTGTCCTGCAGAGTTTAGGTCTAACCCCAATTAAACACATTTGAACCAGTTAATCAAGGATTACTAGAAACTTCCAGACAGGTGTATAGGGGTAAGTTTGAGCAAAACTCTGCAGGACATCGGCCCTCGAGGAGAAGGATTGGACACCCCTGCCTCAACCCATATTAATGGGTTTAAAATAATGGCACTTCCTTTTCCTTATCAGAGACCCATAGTGAGTCTTGTGTGCTTGGTAGGGAAGCTATCAACATCCCACTGAAAATAGACACCCTAGGACACACGCAGCACAAATAATTTAATTATTCATGATGCGGAGCCCTCCAGTTGGTTAGGCTGCACTAGCAGTATATCGACCCACTTCAGACACGCATACCTTAACTAAGAGAGTTTAACTAAAACCCAAAAGCCTGCACTTTCCTCTGTGTTCCTAATTAGTATCCGGAACACTTTAATTTGCTGTTGCACAGTGTGATGTGAATGACATGAACACCTTGCTGATTTCTGGAACTAGTTTAATGGTGTTGTCATGATTTTACACTGGATTAATCATCCATCATCAATTCACATACATTGCTATGATACATTAGAATCAAAACTTGAGATGTTTCAACCCCAGAAGCAAGGCCAAATTGCTCTAATAGTGCCTATGTTGTTAGGTGACTTCATTCATTATCTGTTATAGATAACCTGTCAAGCTCCTGTTTTCTTTTGGAATTTGAAAAAAATATTGACTAATTTGTCTTTACATTTAACCACCAAACACAATATAAAAAACCCTTGTACAAAAGTTTTTGACTCTTTAAAATCAAAACTTTGAAATAATTGTATGTATACTGAATGTAACACCACATTATGCAGTATTATTATACAAAAAAAAATTACAAAAAAAATTCCTTGTGAGGTTTTGATGTTGATTAACATTTGTCTTGCCATTTTGGTTGATTACGGTCATTTAGACATGTCATGAATGCAAGTATTTGTTTGCGTGTGATGTTCTTCAGAGAGTTGCTGCTTCTAGTTGCTGTCCTCAAAACTTCCATTGCTGCTGCATGAATGGAAACGCATGGTGCTCATGGGATCTGACACATATCCTGTGGGGAATAGCACAGAACACAGTGACTGACACGCACTCAAATGCAACCACCATATGCTGAAAAACATGCACAGAGTGCTCTCATCTCTCTGTGAAAATGTCATTTTAACCTCAGAATGAATTTGCGTGGATTATGTCAACATGATTGTTGCCATATTCCATGTAAATTAAAATGCAAAAACAATGTTGCCCCACATTAAGCCGTTACATAAACAGATGAATCACACATTTGATAACTTCCAGTTGGACACAAACCGTTTCTGTCGACGGGTGGGAACTGCATGTTTCTCCTCAGCTCATCCAGAGACAAACCCTGTGAAGACCTCCGACCAGAGCTGTCAAAAGAAGAAAGGCTTGATTCAACAATGAGATTAGTATTGGTTTACGCTAAAGACCACAGAACAATTACGATTCATCCGTGATATAAAATTTTAATGACGCTAAATGGGATACACTTCTGTTTCTTTGTTGTTGTTATATCAGCTCAATGAGGCCTTGCAGGGTTTGTCCTGCTCAGATGATCCTCTATTTGTTTTTTTCGTTAGTCATTCGCAGTGTCACTTTAGCCTTATTTATTGCTCATACTGTACCACCAAACTGCTTACATTGCTAGATCTAGTTACATAAAACATCATATTGCAAAGATTATAACTAAATTAGGTCCCTTGTTGTAATTTGTTGACGGGTTTGTTGACAGTTGCCAGGTTCCCCCACAACACACACATTCATCACCACCCATAAAGAATTGAGAGGTGACCACCAGCAAAGGATCTCAGTGTGAATGTCATGCAAGTTTCATTGCAGTCACTTTCTTTTGTTTTCATGCCTCGGTTTCCAAGCAACAGCACTTCAGACTGTACAGAAGTGTTGTGGTTGGACATGACACTGACCAAACAAAAGAGCAAGCTGACCTAACTCCTCCATTAATGCATGGGTATGAGGTAATGGCCTCTATTTAGTCTTTATTTAAAATCAGTTTTTTTCAGTAATTTCTCATTGTAGTTTGGCAATAGGTTGGTGGGTGGGCTCTTCTTTTTGCAATATCATGGTCTCATTCTTGAATAGTTTATATGTTTGTGGTGGTTTTAGGGTGCTTGAGTGTTTGTATGTGTACTTTTGGGTCCAAAATGCATAGGCACGGGCATTAAGGGCGTATTCCAACTCGAAGCGCGAGCGGAGGGCAGCCACATGACTTCGTCCAGGACTGCCACGTGCTACCAGGCTGTCCATGGAGGATGAGGGTGAAAGAGAACCACTGCTGTTACTGGAGGCTGGAGACATAAGCTGAACACACATAGAAACATATATGAACATGTACTAGACAAATAGAATAGTACTGTATAGTGGATATACTGTATGGGTTATGTGCATGATGCAACCTACCTCCACGTTACACAGGCATTCCTCTAGTTTGGCAACCACCTCGGAAAACTCAGGTCTTTCCTGTCACAGAGAGTCAAAAATAGGGGATTTTCATCAGAGAGGTTTGTTTAAAAGTACAGAAACGTATCTCTAGCTATCCAATCAGCTGCTCTGCTGAAGAGCATATATAAATTACTGTTAAAAAGTTTGGGGTTAGTAGGTTTTTTTTCTTCTAAATTACGATTTAGAAAGGATTCATTAAATTGATCAAAAGTGACATTGAGAGTAAGGACCTTTACATTGATACAAAAATCTATTTCAAATAAATGCTGTTCTTTTGCACTTTGTATTTATCAAATAATAAGTAGAAAAAAACGTATTACCGTTTCTGCAAAAATATAAAGCAGTACAACATTTTCCTGAGCAGTCACACAGGAATAATAAAAAATGTAAAAAAAAACAACTAAAAAAACATAATATTAATGTTTTTACTGTGTGGAATGTTGGACATTTCATGCACTCAACTGTCGCAGCTTTAATTATGTAGTGGAGTCTGTTTAGTTGGTTCTGATTCGCCTGCATTCCTGTGTTCTTCTGAGCTCCTGTGTGTTTTTTAGTTTTGGTTTATTGTTAAATAAAGTGACTGTTACGTATAGATTTTGCCTCACTACTATCCTTGCTGCAACCAATACACACACACACACACACACACACACACACACACACACACACACACACACACAATGTTATTTAGCTCTTTAATCAACACTAAATGAATGCACAGTACAAGCTGTAAATATCCTGGCTCTTTTCAAGTGTTGCTCAGCAAAAGCTCTGTGCTCTACAGAGAATAGTGTCAAGCTGCACTTTGTACCAGGGCACATTCTTAACAAGCACACTTGACACAGTTTCTGCCACACACCTGAGGGACCAGCGCTGAGAACATTGCAAAGATGCTGTTCTTGAGAAAACACCTGGCACAGCTTTGTCGTAGAGAAAAACATGGTATGGTAGGCAAGCAGCTTATGCTCATTAACAGGAATAGAAATAAAACCTGAACTCTTTTCAGTCTATCTCTGGAGTCCTGAACTCCAGAGTAAGACATTCTGGGTATTCTGACTGATTATAAGCAGACTCAGAAGCAGAGAGGTAGTTCATGAATGGATGTAATAGTGACATGTAAGGCAACAGAAAATAATTTGTTAAATGTGAATATTCCTAAATTAGATTAAGCTCATTATTTCCGCTTTGATCCTTATTTAATAATGTTTTACTTATAATAATTTTCTGCTTCTCACCTCTTTACCTAAGAAGCAACTAAATTTTTATACAATACCAAATCACAGCTAAACAAAGTTCATAGTGAATGTGCATGATAAACCTATTATATTTGACTTCTTTTCTGGACATATTTATGCTAGATGTGGGTCCCTCACCTCTGGACAGGCATTCCAGCCCCTCATCAGCAGTGCTGAGATGGGTTTGGGGATTGAGTATCCAATCGGAGGACGGACATGATGATACGCCATATCTGCAGCGGCTGCAGCTGTAAAGAATACACACAGATGGGGGTGAGGTCTTTTTAATTCAAATGTAAATCACAATTATATTAATATAATACTAATAACATTTAATTTAATAATTTAACTACAATTGAATAGTTTATAATTCATCTTGCTTTTCAAACCAAGACAATTCGGGTGAAAATGTATTTCCAATCCCAAGTTAAAGAAAGTTCTGTCATGACAACTCTCGGAGTGATTGGCATGGTAATGGGTATGACAATGTTGATATGCAAGTTTTTTTTTTTTTTTTACACCACAATAAATGTATTCTGGTTGCCAAAACATTTGGTAACTAAACATAATTTTACTAGGTTTAACTTGTAACAATGCTACAATGTTTACATGGTACAATGACTGGTATGCTACTGTTTTTATTAGGCTATTGCTTGACACAAATTTCACGATTTCAATTCAATTCTTGTAATTTGATTCCAATCTTGATTCATTTGGATACATATTAGGTTCAGTAGATGCATGTACAATACAATAAATATGTAATATAGTGCACATATTTAGCTAAATACTCCTCTCTATAGCTAATTTTTCTAGCCAAATAAGGTGCTATACTATGGTCTACATGGCTTTCCTGAGGTAACGTTATGTGACAATAGGCCTATTGTTCTCCAGCTGTTTTATTGACCTCTTTCCTCGGTTGAAAAACACTTATTGATCGATATTATGTATGAGGGATACATTTCGGTAAGTTGTACTGTCTCTTTCAACATACCCACCATTGTTCATTCGTGTTTACTAGATGATCGGTTCACGTGCCGCTTGAACTGAGGCTCTACAACGATGTCACGTCACATTTACAAGCGCCAAAACGGTATTTATTGTTTGAATTTTCAAATAAAATTGACATTGACAGAATCTGCGAGCTGAGAATTTCTTTCATATTAAAAGTAACCTTCTCTGTCTTGTCTGACGGTGTCAGTGTCTTCTTTGCTTCGCGATTTTTCTCTGCGTGAGAAAAATGTTCTAGCAAGGTTCTCTCAAAGTTACAAACAAAAATTCTTCCAGTAACATTAATAGAATGCTTGTTCAAAGTTATCTGGTCTTTAATAATGTTCTCAAAACGTTAGCACAACATTTTTATTTCATTGTTTTAGTGGAGCGTTCGCCTAACATTTTTTAAATGTTGCTATTTCTTTCAGAATGTTTAGAGAGCATTCAAAAGTAACTTTCCCATAAACTTCAAAGAATGATAAAACAGATTTTTCCTTAACATTCGCATAACCTAGAAAAAACTTTTCTTTTTTTCAGAGAACATTCAGAAATAACGTTTTCATAACCTAATGGTAACGTTATAAAAAAGGATTGTGGGTCAATATTAACTATTACAGTAGTGAATAGAGAGGTGCAGTGCATGCCTGGTTTGAGATGTGCAAATGGAATCTCGCCGGTGAGCAGCTCCCATAAGCAGAGGGCATAGCTGAACATGTCTGCTTTCACCGTGTAGCGTGTACACTGGGTAAACACCTCTGGGGCCATCCATCGCAGGTTCTGCACAGCATCAGAGAGCAAAAAATGATGAACACAAAACAAAACGCCTCCTAACCCCAAAGGACAGGCACACATACCTCCCCAAAGACACACTGACGTACTTAATGTGACGTAAAGGAGAGCCAAAACCGCAGTGTAAGCAGTATTCAAATTGCTTACAGAGGATTTGTAGGTGCCAATTAATGTATTACCTTTTTGAGGTGTTAATTAATAAACAGAATTAACCAAGAACACAGAATGCCTGTACCCCGGGTTGTTTAGTCATATTGTCCTCATCCACTGACAAAAGGAAGCGAGACTCTGCAGAACAATACAGAAACATTTTCATTACATAAAATTACATTTCATTTTGTTTTTTTATTACAAATTATAGTATCAGCATAACAATTTGAAAAAGTCTAACTGAAATGTTATGAATTTCATGTCTATGTATTTGGTTTGTCCCTCTTTTGCTCCAATGACCGCTGCACTCAAGCTGCAAAAGTTTGTGTAAAAAGTAAACGTATGATCATGTTGATTGACACAAGCATGATTTGAAATGATCTTTTGAAAATCTGACCCTTTGTACAAAGGAGTTCACATGGTCGGTGTCGCAAATTTGATTAGTGACCAAGAAATTGAGCTTTAAGTTTCAAATTCGATTTTGAATCCAAGATTTTCAATGCTGACTCAACTGTTTTTGCTCTAACTAAAAAAAGTGAGACCAAATCTTGGTTCAGGTGTCATGTTAAGTGTGTGTGGCTTTCCTTACCTCCAAAATCAGCCACCACAGCGTGTCCATCCTCATAGAGCAGAATATTATGACTGAAAAGATATCACTAGGTGAAGGGAGGTTTAAAACAAAGAGCTCAGAATAGTTTCATCATCACTGCCAGCATTGGCAGTCTAAACATATACAGATTATCATGTAATAGGATGGTTTTAACAAATGGACTGAGAAACACCAAGGTTATTGAACGAAGCATGTGATGATGATGATGATGATGATGATGACTAACCTGTTGAGGTCTCTGTGAATGATTGGTTGGGTTAGATTGTGCAGATACTCCATGCCCTTGGCCACATCAATGGCAATGATGAGCTTGGACTGCAGATCAATGATTCTGGATGTAAAGACATTGTTAAGTGAACACCTCCTCCCCGCCACTGATCAATGCACACTACCATCATTCCAACTCAAACAGATCAATGAGATGAAGATCACCTTAAACTGCATATGGAGCACTAAGAAGAAATCAGACGCTTATTGGCATTGATGCCAGTCTTAATGTACAAGCAGATCCTGGATTGCCTCAAATTTCTCTTCTCTTCTGGTCACATTCTAATCAGGGCTTTTTATAATAATGTAATGTAAAAAAAAAAAAGTTTTGAATTTTCAGCATCATTACTCCTGTCTTCAGTGTCACATGATCCTTCAGAAATCATCCTAATACGCTAATAAGATTATTTGATCAATAGAAAGTCATCATCAAACATCAACAGAATGCCGCTTCAGATCCCTTCTGCGCTTCAACGGACAAAAACACACAAAATTATGTCGAAATGTTATTGGCAAGTATCCTTGTAAGCAGAGTCTTAAACAAGTTAAAAAGAGTTAAATTAACGTAAAGAGTTGTGAGAAAATAGGTTGTGTCCTGCGTCATGTCTTAAAGTGACAGCAGCCTAATAAACCTGCTGCTGTCTGTGCCATTAACGTTAATCAAAGAACAAAAGACATAGAGAAAATCATTCACTGCTCTTGGCTGAATCACTTTTGTAGCTTTAATAAGGATTAATCTATATTCAATTTATAATTTATGCAGTGAAGACTGTGCAATGTTTGATTATTCAATTTCTGTATATTTACCTGTTAGACCTACCTGGAAATCTTAAAGCACTGTTTACAAGGTAACATGGGTCAAAAACAACAGCTTAGTAAAAAGATGCCATTAAACAAATATTTAAAATATACTGTCTTTATATTGTTTCTATATTATTTTAGAAATTCAATAAATTACATTATAAAAAGATATTATAAACTTGAATGTTAGGTGCAATTTAGTGTGATTAATTACAGAAAAATGTGTGATTAATTAGTGTGTATACACACTAATTAATCACAGGACAATTCACTAACCATATAAATATATATATTCTTAAAATTACCTCTTCTGCTCATGCAACAGCGAGAACAGTGATCCTCCGGACACATATTGCGTTACAATGGCAAACTGACTAGGGTCGTCCAGACATGCCCCCACAAACTGGATCACACAGGGGTGGTTGAGACGACACAGGATGGAAACCTCCCGACAGAACATATCGGTGTCTGATTTTGAGCAGTATGTGTTTGCACGGTACCTGTGGAAAGGTATGAATGTCATGCAGTTTGCTTTGTATACTCGATGTGGACAATTAAGAAAAACAAGTAAAGAGCTCTTACCGTTTAATTGCAACTATCTTATTACGGCACCTTCCTTTGTAGACCTTTCCAAAGGAGCCTAGGTTAGAGTGTTTTAGTCAATTAGGGTTTAATGGGTACTCATGGAGAGCTAATATTTATTATTAAACTGGCATACCTGATCCAATAATCTCATTAAATTCCAGTTCAGAGAGTTGAAGTTGGAAGTTTGATGCAAGACTTGCTCTCAGGAGAAGCACATCTGCCTTCTCTGAAGAGAAAAGAGGGCAAACAGGAGTTTGTTTGTTTTAGTACCGTCACATCAATCATTGTATGAAACTCTAATCATGTTTCCTTTAGCTTGTTGTTGACATATGCCGATGAGTCATAAAAGATGGGTAATGTTATTTGTAAAATCTGTGGCAGATACAAAGTAATGGCTTAAACTGTAGCAATCACGCAGCGGGAGTATGTTTGAAGAGGGTTTCTGACTCACTGACTCTTGGAAAATTTTGGTGACTGTGGGTAGCAGTATTTCAGGACATAAAAATAGCATCATAGCAACAGTGATTCTGTGAGTCAGCTCTAAGTGTGAGCATGTGTGTGTGTGTGTTTTACCTTTAGTCATACTTTTGATCTTTCCCAAGGGAGAGGGAACAGAAACATAAGACCCATCTGCAACAGACACAACTAACAAAAATGAACTTTTTTTCCTGATGCTTCCACTAAATTTCACAACAGCAACAGAATTTTACATATACACTAATTCACAGTACAAATCTGTCAGGCTACATGTGGAGAGTGTCTCATACCCCCTCCTGGTTGAGAATACTCATTGCAGGGTGAATCGTCCTGAGGCCGTTTGTAGTGTTTTAGCAGAGTAACAATGGCATCGTGGCCTAAAAAGAACATGCACACATCGATCACACACATGGAAATCAAGGCCTTTATTTCAGTTGATTTTAGCCTTTAGAATTTGAAAATGTGATGGATCAAGAGCAATGTACTTAATTTGTCATTTCAGACATATTTGGACTCATATAATTATAAGTGTTAAATTATATATAATATAAATGTAATTATGTATTAGACAGACAGACTGGTAGATAGATAGACTAACCTTTCTCATAGGCCCACATTAAGCATGTCTGTTCGTCCTTTTCTCCACTGGAACGGCTGGGGTCACAAGCCACCAGATTCATATCTGCCCCGTTGTCCAAAAGAAACTGGACCAGTCGGATGTGTCCATGGAAACAGGCACTATGCAGACCTGTTGTTTCAAAGGTTAACTTGAGATGTCAAGACATTGATGATGAAAGCAAATTTTTGTCATTATTACTGATGTAAAGCATAGATTACTGCTGTCATCCTACCTGTGTGTCCATCTCGCCCCTGATGGTTGATGCTCACGGCATTCTGACTGAGCAGATACTTGACCATTTCCAAGTTCTTGCCGTAGGTGCAGGCACTACAGAGAACAGTTAAGCCTTCATTTAGAATGTAATAATAAGATCAGCAGGGACCTTAACCTTATTACAGAGGTGTAATCTGTCAGGAGATGCCCATATAGAATGCATAGGTTAAAGTCACCATGAAATCAAAATGGACAATTCTTGGGTTTTTTTCTTGATTATTTTTATCGATCACTGGCAGTGTGAATGAACCAAAATTAAATGATCCCGGGACACATTATCAGTGTATTTAACGGAATCACTGTGTACAAGGAGGCTTCTGATGACTTGTTTACTGGCGCAAGGGTGATTCAATCTGATATGATTAACCAATAGAAAACCACAACCATCCAATCAATTGCCCATGGACAAAATCAATCCCCACCCTACATTTTTTCTTGTTCAAGAAGCCGTTTCACGTGGATATACGTCACAAATAGGGATGAAAAAACTACCGCAACTTCTGCTTTGTGCAGACTTTAATAGTGGTTAATTAAAATGTGAAGGACATTGAACAAACTGAGGAATGTTACCTATGAAAAGCTGTCTCGCTGAAGATGTTCTCCTTAGACAGACTCTCCGTGCCAGACAACTGAATAATCTCTTTCACCGCTTCAAACTTTCCATTGTAGCAGGCTCTGACGGGGAATATGACACTCAAATCAGAATCACTATTACTTCTGTCTGAATCACAGATGATTTGTTGAGTTTAACTGCCACCTTGTGTTGTGTGTGATTCACTTCTCAGGTGAACTCACAGGTGGAGAGGTGTGTCGCCGTAGATGTTGACAGAGTGCGGCTGTACGTCAAAGCTGCCCTGCAGTAAGAAACGGACAACCTCTTGGTGTCCAAATCGAGCGCAGAAATGAAGGGGAACGTGGTCCTCATTGTCTTGAGCATTGGCTGTATAGAGTCGAGATGTAAAATGCATCAATTATGAAAACGTGTTCTAAAGAAGGCAAAAAGCGTCGCTATTCAGCTCAAGTCAGTTCAATGTTGATTCACTTCAGTTTTAGAGTACAAGGAACAAGCTCTCACCATCAGTTTTGCTGCCGTCATCCATCAACAGTTTGACAATGCCCAGAAAGCCTTTAGCTCCGGCCAAGTGAAGCGGCCTGTCCCCTACCTCTCCACTCGCATTGACATCAGCCCCAAACTTCATAAGAAGCTTGCACACCTGTCCCGCAAGAAAAAGAAAAAAAAAGATAATGAACAAGCCATTAAGTAGATCATGGACATTTATGATACAAAGTACATCCTAACCTGCTCATGGCCAAAGTATGCTGCAATATGCAGAGGGGTGAAGAACACTGCATCTTGGACGTTGACATACGCCCCGTGTTGCAAGAGAATATCGACGGCCTTGAGGAAAAGTAAACAGATGTTAATGGCCTTATTTAAACCCCTATAATTATTATAACTTAATTTCAGGTCCAGCACACACCTCAAGATGTGCGGCCACAGTAGCTATATGTAGGGCCGTGAGGGCTCCGTACCCCACCTGCTGGATATCTGCTCCACCATGCAGCAGTGCAGTGACCAGTTCAGCATTATCCTACATTACAGAAAGAAATGCCAAGTTATCATATCATTTGGGATTGTTTATAAGAGGAAAAGCATCCCAAATTAACCCTTGAGTGACCTTGAATGCAGCCAGGTGCAGAGCCGTGAATCCATTCCGAGTGAGTCTGGATGGACGCAAACCTTTCAGCATGAGGGTCCTGATGTGAACTTTATTCCCTGGTTGCGGAAAAAGAAAACAACTTAGAAAAAAATGTAAATGTATGAAAGTGCCATATAACAACAGAATGTAATTCATCAAGCAATTAAACAGCTGGAAATTCGCTCCTAAAAAGTAGGTTAAATATCATTATTCAAATCTAATATGTTAATGCAAAGGAAATGTCAGTTGGGATGAGTCATGTATGATGTTTTAAATATCATTGCATCAGATATAACTTTATGGCCCGGTTTCACAGACAGGGCTTTGATTAAGCCAGGATTAGGCCTTAGTTCAATTAGGACATTTAAGTAGCTTTTATAAACATGCTGTAGAAAAAACGGTCCCACTTTATATTAAGTGGCTTTAACTACTACTGTATGTACTAACGTTGAAATTAATAATTTGATACAATGGACTTATTGTACACATACATGTTTTTACATTGTACTTATATTTTGAAAATACCTGCATGTAATTACAGCTGTAATTAATTTATGTAATTACATTTGTAATTACACTCTTGACCCTTCCTTTACACCTTAACCCACCCTTAAACCTACACATGCACCACACCTGTCCCTAACCTTACCCGTGTCACACCTCAATAGCAGTAAACATGTTTTACAATACAACATGAACACAATAATTGTACTTATTTTTCGATGTAAGTACATAGTACTCAAATACACTTAATACAAAGTGGGACCGTAAAAGTTAACATGTTTTAGCTCTACCTCCACATACACAGCAGAGATGCAGCAGGGACAGTCCACCCTCTGTGCGATAATTCAGGTTCACTTTATTGAATGCTTCGTCTGAGCTGTATGGTAAAAACACAGAAAAATCAAGATATAATAAAAACATAAGCTTAAACAGATCTCCACATTTACTCTCTCTTTGCGGTAGTGTTATTATAACAGTTCTGTCATGACAACTCTCGGAGTGTTTGGCATGGTAATGGATATGACACTGTTAATATGTCTGGTCTTGGCTGAATAGATCTGCTACGATGTTAATGTTGATTATTGCTGCTAATGCCAATACATATATATATTCTGCTATGAGCAAGACCTGCTGCTGCTGCTGTATAGAATCCATGAATTTCCCACAGCAGATCTATACAGGTGGAGCTGGGGAAGATGGAGGGTTTCTGAAAGTGCACTGCAACTGCTACGATAAATGCTGACCAAATATATGAAAGTTGAGTAGCAAGCTTATTGGCTACTGATACAGCAGAAACCAATCAGCTGTGCCCAATAGAGAATGAAGTGAATGCGAGCAGATTAAGGACCTATCAGTCTGTGCCATATGTAGAGTTTCATGACAGAACTTTGTATATGTCCACACCTTGTATACACTAATAATAGTACACTACAAAGGAGGCTATAACACTGCTCTTAGTTTTAATCAGTCTCACCTGAAAACATGCTTGAGTTCCTTGAACTCCTCCTCTTTAATTCTCAAGTCCTCCTCCAGTCTCTCAATAATAACAGCGTATGACTCACTCACTTTCTTTTTCCACTCATCTAAAGCAAAACATTGAATCAAGACCACAACAGTACATGAACACAATAAACACCAATGTTACATACAGAACAATAGTTACTTAGTCAATGGAGTTGTCAACAAGGATTGAAAGACTGAAAATGTTAGTCTTAATCTATTCATATTAACATCGACATGAAAAGCATGCAAAGAACTAATCAAACAGTCAATTAAAGAAGCTTAATGTTTACCAGTACAGGTTTGAGTGGGTCTTGATTTGTAATTGCCCATTGGACTGGTTGTTTCGAACTTTTGTATGCGATTAGCTGGAGGGAAAGTCTCATGCAGTGGTAACACAATGCTTTGGCATAATAGAGAGGAGTCCGATAAGGGATCGCAGCCCATGCTAAAAATACATCAGCTTCAGTGCGGAATGTGTGACAACAATGACAGCTGACCTCTCTGAGGATCTGTACCTATTACAGGGTGAAGCCATGGCCGATTACTCTCTTCAGACAACAGCTGCATCAAGACTCATCTATATGTTCTTATATATCTCATCTATATATCTTTCCTTTTCTATATTATATCTATCTCTCTGAACTTAGATCTGACAAAACTACATAATGTCATGTTCTGTAAAGAAAATACACTACCGTTTAAGTATGGAGTCAGTGAGATTTTTTAAGATCTCAGACTTTTACTCAGCAAGGACGCGTTAAATTGCAAAAAAAAAGTGACAGTAAAGATATTTATGTTTTCCATTTCAAATAAATAAAAATAATTTCTTTAGAAATTCATCAGAGAATTCTGAAAAAAATTATAAAAAAAAATAAAAAAAATGAAGAAGCACAACTGTTTTCAACATTAATAATAATAAATGTTTCTTGAGCACTAAATTAAAGAATCGTGTGACACCGAAGCCTGGCTGCTGAAAATTCTGCTTTATTATTATCACAGGAATGAATTACATTTTTTATATATATTCAAATAGAAAGCAGTTATTTAAATTGTAACAATATTTCACAATATTAGTGTTTTTACTGTATTCTTGACCCCAAACTTTTGAACGGTAGTGTACATTCCAGATGCATACATTTAAAATATAGCATGACACACATTTAAAATGGGCAACTTTTAATGATGATTGCATAGGATTTTTTCATAGGACTTTTCCTCCTTTTATCTTTTGTGATTACGCACCTGATACAATTTGGCCTTCATGATGCCTTGATTTGTGTTTGGTGAAGATGCTCAAAGTCGACATAGTAAAAGCAATAACTCTGAACACAGAACATTAAAATGAGCCAACACAAATTTAATAAAAAAGGTTCATATTTAGAGAAAACAGTGAAAACTGATATCGAATCAACTAAAATTCAGTAAAACTAATCTGAAGCCATTTTTTTCGCAGTACTTACAGCGCTTTGCCTTGGGCACTGGCAGTTTATGCAACGAAGTTAGTGGTAACAGAATTTCTTAAATTCCCCCGAGAATGTCTTCATAAAGTTCTTTCCTAAATTTCAGCATTTCCTCCAGGTTCTTGTTCTGTAGAGTTTCCTGTAAAGAGGTTAGTGTGGTATTATTGGGAAGAGTGAATTTGGTTCCACTCTCCAAGGCCTTTACCATCCCCAGTGACATCACAAATGAACCCTTTAAATCGGAACACACTGGGAAAATGCAGGTGTTCCACAAACTGCACATGGATGTGTCTCCTGAGAACCTGATCCTTTCGAGACACAAGCCCCAGAGTCTAACACAATCCTCCAGATTAACCTTACACAAACTCAGAGCTTTCATTTCAGCAGGGGTGGATACATTTCTCTTTAGATCATCTTGAATACCAAAAACCACAGTCACAAAACCTGTTTTTCCATCCAGGTTTACAGACAAAGAGTGCATGAAAGTGTCACTTGGCACCGTTATATCCGTGCCAATCCAGCATCCGCTGATGATAGATCTAGTACCCACTTTAACCTTAGAATCCAGTCTGGAGTATTCCACGACACTGCCCTGGGATGCGGTCACAGTGGGATGCAGGATGCTATGCATCACGCAAGCTCTAGTTTTCCCCAATGGCTCCAAGTCGCACGCGCTGAAAGCGGCAGAGAGAAGGCCAAGTTCTTCTCTGAGACAGGGGTCAGCGGTAAAGTGGAACAAGTATTCCTCTGTGGTGCCGACATGATAGAACTTGGAGTTGTTGAGCAGGATGACGTTAAGTGCTGTGCCTTTGAGACGACGGAAAATCTTTCTGCGAATCTCAACGAGACCTTTTTCCTTCTTTGTGACGTTGGCTGTGTTTTCTGTGTAATCCACAGTAGCTTTTCGTCCCAGAGCTTGAAGAAAGTCCCCATAAGCATCGATTTCACATGTGAGAGGGCTGATTTCCCTTAACAAGGTCAGCAGTGTCATAGCAGTCCCGTAATCAACATAATAAGTGCTGTCGGTGTAAACAAACTCCTCTCCTTCCCGCTTGCATACTGCGTTGCATATGCGCATCTTTTCGATGTTTGGCTTATGCAAAAATTGAGAGCAATTTCTATATTCCATGTCACAGACACTGGGCGTCTCTGCTGGTTCTAGAACAAAAACTCCATGTGTGGTCCCAACAGAGAGAGGGGAGGGATGTGCTAAGGCAGTAAAACCTGACTTATCAAACACAACGTTCTCTTGGTCAGGAACACTATAGAGCTCTATATCATCAGCACAGGTAACCAGAATTCCTGGCTTCATGTGTGAAGGGAAATCCACATACATTGCAAGTTTAAGCTCCAGCATCTGATATAAAGGCTTTCCCAGGGGCAAAGCTGTGAATATTTTACCCAGGGCACTGGCATTGGGTAAACGTTGACTGAATCCTCCTGCAAACATAACAAAATTAATAGATAAGTAAGTACATAACACAATAATTCTAAATGATAAGTAAGTAAGAAGATGTGTATAAAGCAAGATAATGTATAGTCAGCCAGTCATTATCACAGAATAACCCATTTTTAGGATAACATACAAGACCCCTCAGTTTCATTTTGGGGTTTATTTTGCCCAACACCTACTGTACATTATCCTTTACAAACACTGCCATTCAGAAGTTTAGGGTCAGTAAGATATATTTTTTTTAATTAATGTTTTTATTCAGCAAGGATGCATTAAATTGATAATGAGAGTAAAAACATTTATAAAGTTACAAACGTTTACCATTTTAAATAAATAAATTCTGTATTTCACAACATTGGTCATTTTTAATCAAATAAATTTAGCTTTGTTGAGTATAAGATACTTAAAAAAATACAAATAAACTCTTACTGACCCCAATTTTTTGAACGGAAGTGTAAGGCTCATTAACAATGAACAAAATTCAGGAATGATTGATGATAATTAAAATAAATTTATATAGTACCTGCATGAATTAGGATGACTTTAAATCCAGACAGTGACTTGCCATATTTATCATGAAGAAACTGCAGTGAATGTAATGTGGACCCACCATTACCTGTATGACAAAACAGTTCTTAACAATGTGCTTGAAATACCATTTTAAAAACAAGTTTTTATATATCGCACCAATCTTGCATCCTGGAGGATCTGCAAACACATGATAACTGATGCCAAGGGGCAGTTCTTTCCTCTCCAGTTTCTCAGTGATCTGAATTTCATAAGCAGACCTCTGGTCCTCATCCACGGCAGTAATGACCACCAGATCCCAGAATTCATTAGTCTGAACTTCTTTACCTTTGGACAGGAAATTAATAACTTTTACTCTTGTTAAAGAAGCCCTCATGAGCAGCAGACACGTGTCAATATTATCACCACCAACACTAATAAAAAAAGTACCACAGCATTACCATGTTTATTTGGACATGTATCACATGCCATGGTATTCCATGGGATTGTAAAGAATAACGTTACCATGTAAATACCATAGTATATGAATAAGGCAATCACTCAGTAGCCATATCTGATACCACCACTTTACCATGGTACCATAACAGTACAACACAAGTCAAACAGTTTTAAAATGAATAGAAAAAGTAGTTTGAAGATATAATGGAAACTTTAACGTTACCTCTCAACTGGTTGAATTTTTTTATTTTCTCTTTGGTGGATTTTTGCAGATGAACGTTTCCGCGTTCTGCCATTGTGAGACCAATCAAATCCACTATCTGTCTATATCACTACAATGAAATCAGAACTTTTAATCAACGACAAATATGAATCAAGCCGACGATCACTGTTAACTGTACGGAAACATATGCGAAAAATAACGAGTTAATTGCCGTTTTCAAAAGTCAGAGAATCTCACTTAAACTTGTGTTTACATATGCACTTCCGGGTTTCAATCATGTGACAAACGAACTCTGACGTGTGTGTTTTTATTTATTTATCGCTCTCTTCATCAAAATCATTTAGGCTACGTTAAACTGAATTAATTAAATATCCAACCTCCCGACATAAAATTAATATTCTTTGTATTTTATTTGTAATGTAGTGTAAGAGGTTTGCAAGAAAATGTTTGGAGAAGATTCTTGTATTTCCAATCATTGTTGTCATAGCAACTTTTATCTTGCTTTTATACAGTCAACAAAAGAGTACAATTGAGAACCAGGCACACAACCATGGTAAGAACAAACTCAACAGCAGATTGAGATTTGAATAGTTTAATTTCAGTAAAACATTCAAATATGTATTTGGAATAGTACTGTCATGCAGTGTTGACAATAGGCCTAATTCAGGATGTTTTGTTTCCTTCAGAAAATGGAAAAGATATGAATTTCAATTTTTTTTTAAAATGAATTCGCTGAAAGCACACTGGGACTATTTGGTAAACTGCTCCCAGTCTCTGATACTGGATCATGGCTACTGGACATCAGAGGGTGAGAAAGACCCGAAGGACATTGTGATGGTCAGATTGAGCAGTTTGCTTTTAAAGAGTCTGGATCAGATTGGAGCTTGCAGAGCAATGAGGATTTGCATCTTGGCTGACAACTTTCTGACCAGGATCGAAGCTCTGATGGCATGCACTCACTTGGTGAAGTTAGATTTAAAAGGCAATCAGGTATTTACTACATTTAATTGAACCCTGAATATTTGATTCACTTTTTTTAAATGATAGTTCACCCAAAACTGAAAATTCTGTCATTAAATTACTCACTCTCATTTTGTCCCAAACCCTTAAGACTTTCGTTCATCTTTGGAACACAAATGAAGATTTTTTTTAATGAAATCTGAGAGATTTTTGTCCCTCCATTGACAGCTACGCACCTGACATTTTGACGCTTCAAAAAGTAAATAAACTCAATCCATATGAATTGAGCGGTTTAGTCCAAATTGACTGACTTGATCGCTTTATATGATGAACAGATTTAATTTAGGCTTTTCACACATTGATCAGCGAACATAAACAGAAGCTCAACCGAACCTGCTTGATGTGCGAGAACAAACCTCTTGAGGAAGCTCAAACGTGCTGCGTAACACAAGAATGACCCTCATTGGTTCTCGCACGTCAAGCGAACATGCTCGAGCTTCCGTTTACCACAACTGATGTGTGTTGATGTTTATATGTGAACATATGTGAAGTTTATTGTGAGATGTGAATAAAAGACTAAATTAAATCGGTTCATCATATAAAGCGATTAAGCCTCTTCAGAAAATTTGGACTAAACTGCTCAATTCATATGGATTAGTTTTACGATCTCTTTATGAACTTTTTGAAGCATCAAAATGGTGGTTGCATAGCTGAGGGACAGAAATCTCAGATTTCATCAAAAAGATCTTCATTTGTGTTTCGAAGATGAACGGAAGTCTTAAGGGTTTGGAACGACATGAGGGTGAGTAATTAATGACAGAATTTTCATTTTTGGCCGAACTATCCCTTTAAGGAGAACAAATCACTAATAATCATCTTTTTGCTCAGATCGTTCAGCTCCCTGATGCTTCATGTTGGAGTCATCTGAGAGAATTACAACTTCTATATCTACACGATAACAACATGTCAACCTGGGACAATATTAAAGGCCTCTCGGGCTGTTTAAACCTGACTGCTTTAACTCTCTATGACACCCCACTCAGTTTAAAGAAGAACTACAGGCACTGTCTGGTCAACAACATATGGTCACTGAAGGCCTTGGACAACTTTGTTATCTCTGACGAGGAAATCATCCAAAACTGGTCCCTTCCCTTACATTTCAAAGCAATGAAGCAACACTTTTGTGTCAGTTTGTACCCGTCTACAAAGTCGGTTAGTGCTCATTATTTTCTTCTTTGTTTGCTGTGTTAACCGTTGTGTCCAAATCATATTTTGATGTTTTCTTTTTCTTCAGGATTCATTTGAGACCGAGATGAAAGCTGTGTATAAGATAATCACTGAAATAAACAGGATTCAGGCCTTTTATTCTCCTACACTTATTGTACAGCGCTGGATCCGAGGCCATTTAATTAGAAAAAGTCTTGGGTAAATATGTTATGTTGCAGAGTTTTTGATATCTTGACATTTGCTAAGCAACATTTTATGCTTCACTAAAATGTACAGGGCAATTACTTACCAGTGGAAATATTATTTGGGATATTTATTCGTGGGTCTATAGAAGTTGTTTTTTTAAGAAGAATTCTGCATTGTCAGACTTTGTAGTAGAAACACCAAAGAAACACCAATGAAACACACAGCGTCTGGGAAACCATTAATTTCCACCCCACCTGTGAGGGCAGAAAATGAGCAGCAACCATCTCAGTCTCAGAAAACCATCGAGGAGGACACAGATGACAACCATGAGCTAGTATGTACAATATTTGACTGATGTACACTACCATTCAAAAGTTTAGGGTCGGTAAGATTTTTTTATGTTATATTTGATTGAAAAACAAAACAGTTAAAACAGCAATATTGTGAAATATTAGTACAATTTAAAATAGCTATTTTTCCTCTGAATATATTTTAATTTATTCCTGTAATAGCAAAGCTGAATTTTTAGCATCATTACGCCAGTCTTTAGTGTCACATGATCCTTCAGAAATCATTCTAATATGCTGATTTGCTGCTCAAGAAATAATTCTTATTATTATCAATGCTGAAAACAGTTGTGCTGATAAACATTTTTGTGGAAACCATGAAAAAAAAAAGAAATTCAATATTTTTGGATGAATAGAAAGTAAAAAAACCCGCATGAATTTGTATTATAAATGTACTCACTGTCATTTTTGGACAATTTATTTGATTAATATAAGTATTCCTTTCTTTCTTTAAAAAAAAAAAAATCTTACTGACCCCAAACTTTTGAATAGTATCACATTATACTGCATATTGTTAATTAGTGAAAAAATGTGTGCTTTGTAACTCTGGTGCTGTATTCTAACATGTAGTTATGTTTGTCAGCCAAAGGAAAAGAATACAGAGATCAAAAGGCTTCACGTAAACCTTAATAAGCTGATGCAAACTCTCTGCCCAGAGGTAATGTGATAGTATAAGTATTAACACTTAACACTATATCTAAAAGTAGACTGTTTAGTAATCATGCATTGGTCACTTTTACACAGGTTTTTGAGGAAGCTACAAATGCTGAATCATTTGATGGTCAACAAGACATGATAGTACCATACAACAGCCCTAAATGCAGAAGTCTGAAATCTGAAGTCCAAATAAGCACATTTGACCAAGGTACAATAGAGTTATAGCTTTAATTAGCTTTCTTAAATTGTATTCACCAATAGCCTGTTTTGTATGTCCAGATACTAATGTGAATGGTGACCTCTGTAATGAAGAAATTGAGGAAGGAACCTTTCATGTTTTGGGACTGAAGGCTTTGGTCCACCAGAGTGAGCCACTGAGTGACATGTTGTGGTCCCGTAAAGCTGTGGGGCAGGACATCCGCGAGGCTTTCAGCCATTTTCACACTCAAAGACCTGGTCTACAGCCTCACTCACCTGCCATTACTTCAGGGAAGCGGCTGGTTGGTCGTTGCCACGACAAAATCAGCCTCACTCCCTTTAAAGTAATTGAAAGAGCCCATCAATCATTCGACGAGGCCAGAATACAGAAACATCTTGCAGAGAAGGTTACAGAGCACCACGTTGACCATGAAGTGGCCAAAGGCCGCAGATACGACTTCATGGAGGCTCGGAAGACAGACGTGCGTCTGCGTCAGGAGCGTGAAAAGGCTGATATGGAGAAAACTCTCATTATACAGAGAGCCAAGCTGGAACGGGACGTCCATCATGCGCGCCAGAAACATTCCCAGTTTCTGGAAGAGAAGAGGAGGAGGATTCAGGAGCAAAAGATGGTTTGCCGGTTCAGCCAACAGCACATCTCTCTAGCGAGGGCCGTACTCCGATATAGCACATGGAAATGTGCTAACCAGCAATAGATGCATGAATCCTATTAATAAAACTCAGTTTAACATGGAACATGACATTTGAATGTGTTAGTTTGAACCCCTTGTGTAGATTCAAAAGCAGATTTACTATAGTATAGAATAGTATAATATATTATAGTACTCACCTGAAGATGTCTGCAAAGGTTATATAAATTATAGATAATGGGATATGCTCCGCCTTTTAAAATCCAAAACATTACATAACAGGGATCCAAAAATAATCTCCTAATACACAACCACCCCCGTCCGTCAGGCACACGTCAAGAGTAACTAGTATTAAAGCCAGTCTAACTTTACATAACAAATAATTCCACACTGAGTCATCATTACACTCATTAAAATAGCACGTAAGAAAGATGAACTGAATGGCACGTTCAGCAAGTCAAATCATTGCAATTTTTCATAGTATAACACAAGGATCTTTAAATCATCTTTTAATGCCCAAACCAATTTTGCTGGAGAATGAATAAAGACGTACTGCACTAAATTGCTACATGTAATAGTATTAATGAAAACAATATCAAAAATCATTATCCCATGTCTTCATCCAGAAGTCTAACAAATCAGGAATGTGAAATTCAATGTATTGTTCTGGCCTAACATAAAAATGTATAGAATCTAACATTTGTAAATGACTAGACTGAAAATGTATGCAAACTTGATCTTGACTTGAACTTGTCATAGGAAGTACCACATATCGACCTTGCCACCTATTTGAAGGTTATTCATATTATTTTGAGTACTAAACTCATTGATAAGGACAACAGGGCAATATACTAGCTTAGTCTTCTGGTAAAGCCATCTGTAGAGATTTTTACATGATTGCACATAACCCTGAATTCTAGCTTATAGTCAAGAAGGTGAATATATATATTAAAAATATCTATTTTTTAAATAATACTATTCATCATATCTATCTACATTATAAAATAATGTGTAATATATTTACGAATCTGGTGTTTTAACAGAAAAAGGATCATGAAAAGTAAACTAATACCTTTTTCTGAATTCATGTGGAAAAAGAGTATTAATATGTACCAAACGGGTCATGATCTTTTATACTGAACTCAGATGTGAAAGTCTATGTCATCCCAATTCTACAGTGACGTCTCGACCCAAATCATTATTTTTCAGAAACAAAATCAATCACTGAATAGCACAGAATGTCGACTTCAACTTCTCCCTGAGTTTTGTCACAGGGTGGAGGTGGGCAGAGAAGCCAGGCTGTCTTTATTCCCCTCCAGGAAAGCACTACATGAGGCAAAGGTGCAGTAGAAGCTGGAGGAAAGCCCAGCGATGTCAGTGGAGATGTAGGGCAGCACGCCAGGAGTGGCCTGGTTGTAGTAAGAAATCTGAGAGAAATGCATACATAAGCATGTAAGCCAGACACACTTAACCTTTAGTACTTTAACACCTGTGGCAGAATCAGGAACCACTCTAAGCAGTTTCTAAACATGAGTTATAATAAATGGTATTATTGGCTAATGTACACGCATTATTTCAGTTAAAGAGATTGTTATGTTTAAAGCTGTGTTAATTCTTGAACTCTGACTCATTCAGTCATTCGGTATAAGTGTCCATTATGTTTTCTGTGTATTTATCACCTTTGTGAAAGAGCTTTCCTCTTCCCAGATACTGAACCCAGCACAGAGCACCTCTCCTCTGTTGTAGTCTTCAGTAGGAGGGTACGCAGGCAGGGTAACAGAACGCAAGGCAATCAAGTAAGGGTCTCTAAAAAGGACAAATATATAATAACTTATGTTATATTGTCCTTTAGAAAGACAAAACAAAATTCATTCTTTAGGATTTGGAGGTTTACCCAGAATCACAAGGGCGCCTCCTAGAGGCCAGGAGGATGAATTCCTGGTCTTTGCCTCCTTTAGTCACAGAGGGGGTGACAACACGGTAGATGGTGTCGTCTTCATGTGGGTCGGTTATCACTTCGCACTCTCTGTATAAGAGCATATTTATTATGCTCAGTTATAATGTTAGTTCTACGTTAAGTAATTTGAAACTGGCTGATAATTTAGCTTTATCTACAAGATGACCTGAAAAACAACAAAATTCAGTTGTTGCAATATAGTACATAATTCAACATTTTCTGTACCAGCCACCCTGGTCATATTGTTTATTTGGGAAGATGAATAATATAGTGAGATGTAGTAATTGTAAATAATTCAAATGTTATATTAGTGAGCCATTCTCATAGGATTCCTCACAGTCATTTTGATGCAGCAAAATACATTTGACATACTGATAGTGGTGGTCCCATGCCTTCCTTCGCCTTAGATCAGACAGTAACAGAAACACCTGCTCGGCTGCCATGGCCACATGGGTCTCCACCTTAAAGCATAAAATCTGGTTCTCCTCCAGCGTGTATAAGCTCACCTGGGCACAACGTTTCAGCTCATAAATTTCTCTCAAGCTTTTTTTGACTGCTCAAATCACCCATGTAATCTCAAAAGGACAAAATGAAAACTTTAAATATAGAGTTTACAAAGATTATCCACCTTGTTTTTCTCTGAGGTCAAGACCCAGTTGGTCCGGGCAGCTAACATTTTCAGTGCCGAAACATTATTGTAACTGAGGTACATCTGGCAAGATAATGGAATAGTCACGTGATTCAGAAAAGTATTTTGAATATATCCATGACATTTATAGCTCGTAGAACAGATTAATATACCTGGTTACTTGGGTCCCAGGGAACTGAGAGAGGAACCTCACTTTGCTTGCAGGATATTATGTACTTCCTGTAAGAGGAGAGCATACTCATGTGATCAGTTTCCCATCCAACTTTGAATATGACATACAGCTAGAGCTTATAAATAGCATATGATCATAAAAATATTACAAAACGGCCTGGTTTCACAGACAAGGCTTAGATTAAGCCAGGCTTAAGTGGCTTTTATAAATGTGCGTTAGAAAAAATATTGAATCTTGGGATAAAACAATGGCAATGACATATTTTAAGATATGACAGAGCAAGTTTCTTTCAGTTAAGACAGCTCAAACATGCATTTTAGTCTGGGACTAGGTTTAAGCCTTGTCTGAAACCAGCCAAACCTGTTATAAAAGAGACAATCTACAGGATCCTACCTGTCGAGGCGGATTTTCTTTCTGGCTATGGCTTCCTGAAAGCGCCTCTTACCATCCTAAAAAGACAGGATGAGGAGATTATGATTTCTAATCTGAAATATAAATCAAATCTAAATAAGATACGGTTTTAAAAACTGCACGTTTTCATGTCAAGGAAGCACTTCAGTTCCAGCACTGATTCTGTTTCACCCTCTTGAACCCATCCAACAAACTCCTCTGTCAACAAGTTTAACTTATCCACCATGTGAGGGATTATAAGAATGTTACAGCGCTCACCACAGGCTCAGGCCGTATCCTTGGCAAAGTGCGTGGCTTCCTGTCATTGTCCAAGACCTCAAAGTTCATGAAGGCAGTGTTGATGTGTCGTAGGGGTTCTCCACCCTGATAGGCCTCTGCACACACTCCCACCTCCATACTGGAATAGCAAACACAACATAACAGTTGTGCAAGGATAAATCAGGCTTCTTGATTCATGGATGTAAGTGATACTGAGTCATAGCTTGTTTATGATATTATAAAATATATAATAGGTTTTTTAGTGTTTTTAATACAATAAAATAAATATAATACTAAATGTAATAAAATAATAATAGTTTTATATTTTAATATATTTTAAAATGTAATTTATTCCTGTGATGGCAAAGCTGAGTTTTCAGCATCATCACGAGAGCACCACGACGCATGTGTGTTGTGTTGATGCGGGAGCAGACGTTGTTGCGTGAACGCATGTTGGAGATCAATATTTTTTAAATAGACCCACAGAGTGCCAAATTCAGATTTTTTTTCTCGAAAAAACACTTGTTTCGCTTTATAAAATTGAGGTTAAACCACTGGAGTCACATGGATCACTTTAATGTTGTGTTCTGCCGGCTTGAAAGTGGTAGTAAGTAATAAGACCTTCATTTGTGTTCAGAAAATGAACAAATGTCTTACAGGATTGGGATGACATGAGGGTGAGTAATTAATGACAGAATTGTTATTTTTCAGAAACTTTCAACTTCCAAAAAAAATCCTATTAACACCAAACTTTTGAATGTTTGGGGTATTCGCCCCAGTGGTCAGCACAATTTTTATTTTCATATAGTGGTACCTTTTCTTGAAAGCATTGTTTACGATTGCCTTCAACACCAGTCTGTCTCCAATGTGGGAGGGGCCACGAAAGTGGAACATGTCTATGCTCCGCAGAATTGGGTGAGCATTACACAAACGGCTAGAGGAAAAAGCATACAGAGTATAATGCACCAAAACACCAATGGTTTATTTACAGGTTCTAATTATTTTTCTTTAAAAGAATATAATAGAATATCCTGAATGAGTTTTTTGTCATCAGATTCAACTGTAGTAGAACAGTGACTGTACACCTGGCAGAGATGGTGGCTACATTCTCCATCCAGGCCATGATTTGTCCACCGAAGGTGCTGACCTGGTGATTGGCATGAGGCGGCAGCACCAGCTCGACGCTTTCTACCCGAGTTCTCTCTGCAGGCACCGCATCCTGGTAATCTAGATGCTCACTCACTGACAAACAAATAGAGCACCACTTATCAGAGCTAGTGCATCTTCCACTCTCTTTATTCTACACACTTCAAACCACGTGACCCTTTGAAAGCGAACGGTGAAGGTTTACTGCACATATATATGCTTAAATGAATGTTGGCGGAATACTCATGAAGAGACACCAAACAAACCAAATGACACTTTTAATCATGAACACAACTTCTGATTCATGACTCATTTCCCGTGGCCTCGCTTCAAAGTCTTGGAAGTAAACAAACACACCTGGAGAGAGTCTCTGCTCACCTGTCTGAGAGGAGCAGCTGCTGAGGAGGTCGATAATAGTCTCTGCGTGGATTAGTCTCATCCTCCTGCGCTCGGCTGCGAGGCTGTACTCCATCTGCTCTGCCTGCGTGCGTGGAATCGCCTGCATGAGCTGTACCTGTGCAAACCCAAACACTGCACTGATCAATCACAACTCTAACAAGACATGGAGCAAAGCCAAGATCTTCTACAGATCTGATTCAAAGGTGTGCCTAAAAATATTTGTTTCAGTGACGTTTCTTACCTTTCCTGCTTCTGTACGACGGGCCACAAAGGTGGCGAAAGCGTGGCAGACCTTCCACTGTCTGTCACTAAAGAGATCTTCACAGCTCACCGAAATACCAACCTGTGACAAAGACCGACATCATCAGTCACACGTTTGGTTTTATTCATTTAGCAGAAGCTTTTGTCCAAAGTGAATTACAAATCAGAAACAGTGCAAGTAATTCATCATAAGAGACAGATATATTTAAAGTAGACAAGTTTCCAGTATAAACTAGATTAGAGCTCAAGCTAGAGCAGAAGTGAAATGCAGTGTTTTGGTTGTTCATTAGCCAATGACCAAAATTCGACATGTAAATAATATCAATAGATTTTTGATTAATAAAATCATTTGTTCTCTCTAATTTGCGCTAAATAGTCACCTTTATTTATATAGTGCTTTATACAACACAAATAGTTTCAAAGCAGCTTTACAGTGATAAACAGGAAAATAATGATTCAATGATGCAAACAGAATTCAATTCTGCTGCAAAGCAGCTCTAAAAAGACAATAGTGTCCTGAATTGTTCAGAGTTGATTCAGTTTGGTTCAATAACTGTAAAGTTAATCCATTGTGAAATTAGTTCAATTTAGCTATAAAGCAGCTCTGCAGAAAACAGTGATGTCATCATCCAGCTCAGTTCAGTTCTCATCCAATAGTGTCAGTGCAGTGAAATCCATAATATTGCTGAATATTAAGTGAATATTAAATGGCAGTATAGATCCCACAAACCTCCATGCTGGATGTGAAGGCTCTGTTGACTTTGGCTGTAATGTTTACAACCTGTCCAATCCTGAAGAAGCAACAAAACATATAATCAAGCAAAAACGTGTTGTTTCAATTTGAAGTAAGTTCCTGTATATGTTTTTACCCTATAGTTGTTTCAAAGTGAATGTCATCCACTGAAGCTGTGATACAGGAGCAGCCAGCATGTCTTTCAGCTGGAAACAAGAGAGCAAATATTGATGATTATTAAATGTTTACACCCAAAGCAAGTATTTAAGCAGGTTCTTCTGAAAACGCAAGTAGGTAATTCTGAAGGTAATAAGGTTCTGCGCTTCCGAATGAAGAGAAAACAAACAGGCCAGCGCAGCTCATCTCGAGCAACATGAAGGGAAGCATGTAAAGCTGTTACCAACCACCATCTGTGCTTTTCACAGTGCTACAAAGGTTTAGCCACAGAAATGCTTTCGCCTTTTATCAGCTAAATATGATTAAAAATCATTCCAACTGCTATTAAACTTTCTCACCAGCCCGTTACTCTGTTTATTCACGGTAAGAGGATGGAAATCACAGTCTAAACTGTAAAGACTCCTCCATCTGCGATGTCTAATGACACTTAGTACAAGCATATGGTGTGGGGGTGTTTACATGAATATCGGAGGTGACGGCAATGATTCAGAGTGAAATGAAATCACCTTAAAAAATGTACTTGATTTTAGTGGATCATTGGCAGGGATCAGTTGTGAACTGAATTTAAAATAAAATAAAATAATCATGGTTTCATTCAAACAGTGACAGCAACTCAGTTTGTCTCTAACATTAAGAATACCCCAAACGGACCTGACAGGCAGGCGGTGGAGTCCATCCACTTGAGCAGCTGCCCAGAACTGAGTTCTCCACAGTGGTTTGCATGGCAGGGAAGAACTATCTGGCTCATCTTTACTTCAGTTGGGTTCCTATACATCTCCCCATTCTCCAGAATGAACATGGGCTCTGCCAGCAGCATAGGGTCCCTGATCTCACTTGCCATGGCTAGGGCTCTGTTGGACAGAGCAATATATTTACATATTAAGATCCATATTTGGCGGTATCAAAATCATAGAGTATCACTGCCTTGAAACATATTGGTGGAAGGTCAAAAGTTCAGGAAATGTAGGCCTTGTTTTAAGGCCATCCTCTAATATAAAGTTTTCTTGTATAAACATTTGCTTGAATATCAGGACAGGTAACTTGTCATTTTCACAGGATTCATGGTGAGGTCAAGGCACATTAAGTCATCACACAAGCTCATGCTTCTTTTAAACCTTTTATATTATCATATCTGATTCCAAATGTTATACAGTCACTAATTGTGACCTGTCCATTTTGCTTGTTATTTTCATGAGTCACAGCAATTTTAAAGTCAGTTCAAAAGGGATTAGTCATACCAATTTAGTTTAAAAAAAAAAATAAGACTACTTGAAAGTGCTACACTTGCAACAGATTTATAATCAGAGAAAATTCCTTCTGGAATTACTGCAGACCCTACATGAACAGATTATTCTGCATTAATAAAAAATAGTATTGTATTGTATTGTATACGTATTGTAAATAAAAAAAATAAAAAATAAACTTTTTTTTTATAAACATCAAGAAAAATTATTTTATCACCCAAGCAGTGTGTATTAGCAACACAATGCATTTCAGTTTATTTTCTAGGTGCAATAACCTGCACCAGTTAGCCAAACACTATCTTACAGACATGTTCCATGTCTATAAAATAAAAACACAAGTTCTTTAAAATGATTGGAAAAACAGTAAAAGACGCATTAAAACTAATAAAAATAGCTCGCGATATGTGAAAGTAAAACAGCAAAACAATATGAAGAAGGAGAATTGGAGCCAGATCAGAAACAGGACAAAGCCGTTTTTGTCTGTAAACTACGTGTCATAGCGATTAATACGCTTAACTCGTTTCTGTTTGTTATTAACTCAAGCCTGTGTATACAGTCAAACATTAAGAGAGATATTACAAGAAAACACAGCTGATATTCCGCAATAGTTTTCAGGTGGACTTTACAATTAAAAGCATAAATTAACCAATCATATCAGTGTGCCGTTATTCAGCATCAAAACGCAACTCCTGTTCGGTTCTCATTTAGCCTACGGAACACTTGTCATGCGTCAGACAGAGTCATGACCTCTAACAAACTCTGGACTGGCATTAACCTGCTGTCAAATGACATATTTGGCTAATTCATAAATGGTTTTCATTGTTATGAGTTAAGGTTATGGGAGACTACATAAAGTTATTAAATAATGAATTATTATAGACTATATATATTATAGACAAACTGTTGCATATTAATTAATTATTTTTCTAATTCAAGACAAAAAAATACATATAGGCTACACGATTATTAAGTTGCATGCATTTATTTGTTGATTTTTATGAAAAACATATGATTAGCCTACGTTTTCCTAAAGTTTACACAGCAGGTTATTCTGTGACAATTCAAGTGTCTACTGCGTCTGAACTAAAATAGCCTTGGGTAATGAGCAAACTTACGCGAATAGATGTTAAACCACTCTCATTTGCACGAAGAAAGAAACGATGTCTGTGTGGTGTCTGAATCTTTGCAAGATATATGAAAATAAATAAAAATACATTCTTATTCCCAGTCAAACAAAGTGTCCACACTGCGCTCTACTGTTCCCATAGCCCAATGAAGTTACAGTGACGCCCAGAAACTTTTTAAGGTAGACTGAATCCATTAGGCTACTCAAGATCAACTCTCCGACCTTATGAAATTAGGGTGAAACAACAGGCTAACAATAGCACATTTTAAAATATATATAAAATATATATATTACGAAACAAATATAATCTGCTTACAGGGTTTTAATAACTTTAGGCTAATTTAAGAATTCAACAGACCCGAAGTCAATATTTAAACATGTCTTTTTGTAATTAGCCTACTTACAAAGAATTTCTCAATCTATTGTATTGCAAAGAGTGCAGTTATGATTACTCTCGCGTATGTAAAGTTCATAGGCTAATAGGCTATAAATAGGCTAACTGAAGTTATATTTAGAAATATGCATAATAATGAATTTTAAATTACATTTTAATGCTATTTTCTTTGAATTTTATATTATATTATCTATTTTTTTTTCTTTTTTTTTTCTATTTCTATTATTTCCAGGCCATAATAGAAGCCTAAGTGAGGCTTTAATAGCCTTAATTCAGCTTGATTCCATTGTTCGTATTGCGCTTTCTCACAGTATGCAACCCATTTAGTCAACAGAGTAAACAAATCCAGGGGTAATTAATGTGGAGCGCCAACCCATCTTTAAAGAATCACAGGAAATTGGAGGAAGGAACTATTTGGTCACCGAACTTACGTCACTGCGGGGGCATCACGCAAGAGAAATGGCGCCCTGCCATTGGCCACGTGCCCTTGTCAATCAAACAGCACAATTCCCCCCCGCCCCAGTGGTCAAGGTTGGTTGAGAAGGCGTCAGTGTGTTTAGTTTGTGCAGTCGAACCTGGAGCAGTGACAGATGAATTGTCGAAAATAGGGGAAAAGCGAACGCGGGTGACTCTCCCGTGCACAAAAAAAAATCATGTTTCCTAAAGGCAAAAGCTCCGTCGTGCCATCGGATGGTCAAGCTCGGGAAAAGTAAGGTCTTTTGAACATCGCCCGTCGTGCGTGTGTTATTGTGTTGGATGTAGCCTATTGTTAGGGCAGTATAGGCACGACTGCATATGGAGCGTATGCTGCTGCTATAGGCTTGTCGTGAGAGCGTTGAATCGAAAGTGCCCGGCCGTGCGCCATTCTGGGGTCCCCCTGTGGCACAGAGCTTTCGCCCCTGGTCATTGTGATGTGATCCAGAATAAAAACCGTCTTTTTTAATCACCTATTTGAAATAGTTTCTGCATGCGGGACGGGCGCTTTAGTGTTCCTCGTTTCATTTTGCCACAGACGCCAGTCTTGGAGGGGAGTGGGTCTCGTCTTTTGTTTAGTTTTTATGCATTTTGCATGCTTTTGAGGTGCTGCCTTGTTCACTGGGGGTTTGTAAATAATAATAAAAATCTTAAAAAAATTAGTAATGTGTGTATATAGTGAATATTTATCCTTTTTTGGTTCATATAATTTGTAAAAAAAATTTTTTTTAGGAATATATTCTTTTTTTTTACTATAAACACTGTTTTAGCGGAAACCAGAGAGAAGTGTGACACAATATTGATTTCTTGGTTTTGTCCTCATCAACCATATTATTTTTTATTTGTCAGTTGTTGCTTTAATAACTTAATATGTTATTCTCTCTGTTTTATTGCAGGTTAGCTTTGTATGTTTATGAGTATTTGTTACACATTGGTGCTCAGAAGTCTGCGCAGACTTTCCTGTCAGAAGTAAGAACCAGAACCACAGCAGAGGACCACATTTTAGATGGTTTTTACCTTCACACAAATTTTTATGTCCTGGACACTCTTAGACTGAACCTTTAAAAGATGTAATTATTTTCGGATCCATTCTAGATCCGATGGGAAAAGAACATCACGCTGGGAGACCCTCCTGGGTTCCTGCATTCCTGGTGGTGGTGAGTATTTTGAGTGTAATATGTATGTGTAAAAAGAAATATATGACCAAAAAATAAAAATGACATTATTTACTCGCCCTCATGTCGTTCCAAACCATGACATTCTTAATTTTACGGGACACAATGAGAGAAATTCTGAAGATGACTGAAGCTTCAAAAAAGATGCACAAGTATCTTAAAAGTGAACCATGCAATTTTTGCACTGTGTGAGTTGTTTGAAATGTATTTATTTCACTAAAATCTTTTGGTCTTTTTCTCACACTAAGCTAATGCATTGTATGGTGCATAGTTATTGCACAGAAAACAATCTTTAAATTTCACCTGTGAAAGGGAAAGTCATACAGGTTTGGAATGACATGAGGCTAAGCAGCGTAAATAATGTCCGAAATTTAATTTGACCATGATTTGCTCCTTTAATCTGATCACTGTGCATATGCAGACTTATACGATCACTTTTTTCCTTACCCCAGTGTCTTTTGGGACCTCTACTGTGCAGCTCCTGAGAGGAGAGACACATGTGAACATTCAAGCGAGGCCAAGGCTTTCCATGACTATGTGAGTATATGAAAACGCATGGAAATTCTGCATAAGTTGAGGACAAAATTACATTTCTTGTGACTTTGGAAGAGTCTCTGTGTTGTATAATAAGAAAATGTGTACAGTGTCATGTGTGAAGGATGTAGTAATCATCCCTACAATAGAAATGATGTCAGGAGGGTTTTCCATGGAATCACCACTGTTTCTAGACAAAGATGGTATGTGCCTTGGACGATCCGCTTTATGTACATGTTTGGCTGATTGGAAAATAGTTGTGAAAACATCCTGTGTGACCAGGAAGCCAGGAAAGGCCTTATTTATTAATAGATATTTTAAGTTGCACTTTTTAAAATGGAATTGTAGAAACATGCCCTTTATTATGGCATGAAGTTACTAATAAAAGCATTTTAGGCGAGTTGCACTGAGACCGATCAGTCCTAGTTTTGGATAACATAAATGAGCCCAATAAGTGGCGGGAAAAACTCTTTAGCATAGTTTAGTTACAATTAAAAATGTACAACTCGTGTTGTGGCATCTCTAATTGTCATTTCTCTGTATTTCCAACAGCTAATGTGGGAATGATGCGACTCTTAGGCAAAAACCTCCAGCTTTAGCCTCTTATTATTTATATATATTTTGAAATTGCACTTTTTAAAAATGGATTTGTACACCAATGGCTTTTACAATGGCATGAAATCACCAGCAAATATAACTAAATATTTTTTAGGCAAGTTGCGCCGAGACCGATCAGTCCTAGTTTTGGAAAACATAATTGAGACTGTAAATAAGATTCTAATTGTCGTTTCTCTGTGTTCCCAGCATCTTATGTGGGCATGATGCGACTCTCTAGCCTTCCACCAATAATATATGACTGCTGTTGTCTAGCCGCGAGCTTTAGTGAAGGGGCCACGGGTCGGAGGTCATATGCAGAGAGTATAAAAATCAAACCCTTGCTCTTCTGTCTAGACACCGTAATCTGAAAGGATGCTGCCGTACGGGGACATATGAAACATGATCAGTCATTCGAAAATTAGCTGCATGTTCAGCATAGTTGGATCTGCAGGAGTGTTATAGGGCATTATGTTTTGAAGTCATCGTGTGATCGGCGCTGTCTCCTCTCCTGCCTTTTGTGCCCAGCTGTGGTCGGGACCGTGGCGTCAGGTCTGTGCTCTCTTATTCTCCAGAGGGTGGGGGAGGAGGCTGCGCCCTCTTTAAACAGTGGCCATGTTGTCTTCATGCTGTGTCAAGGGAAACACTCCCCCTCGGGCTGTGGTGGGGATGGAGAGTGATTGATGGCTGTCATGGAGCCTGTCGGTAGGCAGATTGAAAGGGAGGGAAGAGACAGATGGAACGAGAAGCATGGAAGCGAACTTGGAGCGTAAGGAAGGGATGAGCTGTAGAAAGCAGGATTGTGTTGGATTTGTTTAATTATTTTAGGGCATTTTAGAGATATAATGTTGTTAGGTTGTGATGGAGGGCTGTCATCAGGGTGGGACAACCAAGAATGTTTCAGTTTCCCTGGGTTAACTCATCCTCGAATAATTTTTTTGGTTATGAGAAATTTTGCTGATCCTAAAGCAGCATTAAATTCCCACCCATTTCACTTCTGTAACATGATTTTCCAAGTGGAACAAGACATTCAGCTAGGGGGGAAAGGCAAAAATTGATTGAATTCCCATTGGGAATTGATTGGATCGTGAAAAGTGGGCATTCTATTCCAGAGTTTCCTTTCGTTTTGTTGGATTGCTTACCTTCCGAAACAGGAAACGGCAGCCTTGGTGACATCAGCCGAAATAGAAAAGTCATTTTGAGGGCGGAGCAAGTGATTGTGAAGTCAAACATTAGTTTTCTTTGGAATAACACACACTGCAGTGATATTTAGATAAAAAAAATGTTCATTTTGAGTAATTTTGTTATGTGCTTTTGTCTTTTTTTTTTAAATATTTCTGTTTACTTAACTATAACAACACCAATGCACTAATGAACTGTGAATGATGTGTCCAGAAATATGCATTAGGAGTGTGATTTTGAATTTAATGTGGATTTTAAAAATAAAAAGTCTTCTTGGCCCCTTGAGCTGTGGACTTTAATAGTCTGAATGGAAAGCGTAGCTGCTCCATTGTTAGGGATCAGTCTCGGTCTGGCTCTTCCCATTGGCCTGTTCTGATCTTTGTTGCTCCATTAGGGTCAGCTGCTCTTTTTTTCTTTCTATCTCCTTCCTGTGGTATTTCACAGCGCACTCTGAAAAGCCTTGCTCGGTTAACTCGGGCTGAAGTGTGACAGGCAGCAGACCACACTGTGCTTCTTCCACTGCCATTATATGCATGATCAAATCCCTGTTGTGCTCTGAAACCTAGTTCTTTCCTCTTGGTTTTGTGGATTTTACACCAGTCAGTTGTGGCTGTGCCATTGGCTTTATTGCTTGCTGGTCGAGTACACAGTGCTATAATGCGTTAAGCTTAAGATTTATTCTGGTTTTCCTTGGAAAATAATCAGTGCCTAAGATGTACAAGTCTTTTTTCCCCATCTAACTTGTCCCTTTTCTTTGTGTCCA